CCACTATGTCTTCAACATTAAAACATTAATCTCATTCGGTAGCATGCTCCTAAATGTTTGGCAACCTGCTCCTTGTAGTTCGGCAGCTTGCTCCTTAAGCTTATTCGGCCTGCTCCTTGAGATAGCTGATTTTGGCTAACACATATGTACCTTGTCTAAACCATCTCTCATCCAACTAAAGGGTCATAACCTTTGTTACTATAAAGTGTCACACGTATGAGGTCAAGACTTCCGCTGAATGTTTCAATATCTCCCAAAAGATATTAATACTCACTTTGTTAGAGGAAAAAGGGTTGACAAATAAAAAAGATTTAACAGTCTATTCACCTGCCCCCAGTCTTTTACCTCACATGGGACCATTATCTACTTCAATGATTCAACCCGTGACACAAGTACTTGGTTCAACAAGGATGATAACGAGTCATCTGCGGGTTGTCCGAGGCCGGCGCAGTGGCGTTGACTAATCTGGTTCAACCCACTTCAATGGCCTCCTTCGTCCAGGTGTGTCGGATTTGGGGCTTTTTCAGAAACTTGGGTAGAGCTGGTCGACATTGATGGATCAGGAAGGGAGGTTGCGTCTTCATCTTCAAAGGGCAAAACGAATCTTGCCAATCTTACTTTGGATGGAAATACGAGGGAGAGATTGTTGATAGAAAATGGGCTGTTGTCCAAGTGTCCAACCGTCCTCCTCCATTCTTATTCTTCTTTTTTTAATTTTAAAATTAGGGTTTGTTGACATTAGGGTTTGTGGGTATTCAATATATATGGGTAGTGAATATGAGCAATGAGCATGCTCATAGATATTGTTGAGTATGGTGAGTGAATTTAGGGTTTGTGAGCATTGAAAATTGACAGAGAACAAAACAATAATTATGGCAGTAAATATGATAATATAAATGTTGTACATGACCGTGAATGAATACGGAAGTTTGTTGTGCACTGAATATGACCAATAGTGCAGTAATGCCGCCATGAAACACAATATACTTAAATATTTTTCGGAAAAAATTTCATATTCAGAAACTACATTAAAAGCTTTACAAAGTCGCAAAAACCAGAATAAAATTTGATAAAAATTTGATATATAAAGTAAGAGATTAAGAGTGTTTTATGTTGACCAAGTGAATAGACACTGAGACAATAATAGGGTGATGGAGAGCGTATAAATCATTTTGTAAAGTGAATGAGAAGAAAATTAATTTTAGTTGAAGTGCAGTGATTATTATCGGATGTTCAGTAATGTCGTGCAGTAATGTCGTGCAGTAACAACAATGTAAAGTGCAGTAATTTTAATTGAGCGAAATTAGTACAAAATCCACATATTTTAGATAATGGTATTTTCGTCATTCAACCTTAAAATACAAACAAGAATTTTTTTTCCGTCATATAAAAGTCTAAAAACTAGTTACGTCATAGATTGGGATACTCATATATTTTTAGTCATATCCTACACCCTATCTCTTCCATTGGTTATAGCGAGCTTTAATTCTTTAGTGTAGTTTCTAGGAAATTTCCTAGTAAATTTACCATCAACTATATATGCACTCTCCTACAAAGCATCATCTTGGAGAACCTACAAGTATTTTGAAATATGTGGCTGGAACTCTAGATTATGGCATTTTATATGAAAATTTGAAGCTGTTTTCATTAAAGGGTATATAGATAGTAATTGGGCAGGCTGTATTGATGATAGGAAGAGTACTTATGGCTCATTGTTTGATCTAGGAGCTGGATCTATAACTTGGGGTTCAAAGAAGCAGGATGAAATGGCTTTGTCTCCTACAGAAGCAGAGTACATAACTGCAGCTAAATAAGTCATATTGTTGAAAAAGTTGTTAAAAGACTTACGATATGAACAAGAAGAAGTTGTAGAGCTTTGGTGTGATAACAAGAGAAAATTACCAAAATACGGGATTCTCCCGTCTGACAAGCCAAAATGCGGGAGTTGGCTTTAGGTTACCAAATTACGTTAGTCGGAATTGAGCAATCCGACTAGAGGAGGGCTCCGAATTAGGGTTGAAACCCTAGTCGGAATTGGGGAATCCGACTAGAGGCTATGGCGGAATTAATTAAAAAACCTAGTCAGAATTAGGGAATCCGACTAGGGTATTTTGATATTTTTTTTTAAAAAAAATGAGGTGTTTAATTGTGGTTCGAGTATTTTACCAACTTGTATCCTCCAACACGTAATTTTGGCCTAGTTTCCAACCAAACTCCTACCCTAATCCCTCCTATAAAATCCATTCATTTCTTCTCAAAATTTACAACACACTCCAAAAACACTTCTTTCTTTCTTAATATATTCATTATTTTTTTGTTTAGCACTCTCCTCTCATATTATATTTATAATATATACCATTTATAAAAATGTCTAACGAGAGCAATACTGTTGTTATGGTTCATTGGAATGGCTCTACATCTCAAAAAGATGATGAAATAGAGTACTCCATACCTCCTAGAGCGGTACTATTCATTAGTGAAGGAGATGATTATACTCGTATACATGAGAATGTTCTAAATCATGTTAGAGGCGACGGATTTTCCGAAATTAAATTAATTTACGGAAAATTGCCAAAATATAAGAATTCGGTATATGTTGCTTCTAGATTATGGCCCATTCACGATGAGCAGACATGGCGTCATGCATTTTTTTTCCGGATCGCTACAAAAGAGTATGAGGAATTGCACATTTACGTGGAAGCTTCTGCGACCCCGCCACAAAATTTGACGTTCCACGGAACTCCCGGAGAGGAAGGCCCATCATCATATGGTCGGAGGAACAACCGCCAAACGTTTCAGAACTACGAATCTCCCAGTATGTATTGTTCAAGTTAATTTAGTAATTTGTAAATTTTTTAATTTAGATTGTTAAGTTGGAATTTTAGAGTTAAATTTGGCTATAATTGATCGTTGTATAATCAATAATTAGAGTATATTTAGTAATTGATCATTGTATAATTTGTAAATATATATATATATATATATATATATATATATATATATATATATATATCTACTTAGGCTACAATTAAAGTATCTCTACTTAGGCTATAATTAAAGTATATATTATCTCTACAAATCGTTGTGATATACTCCGTATTAAATAATACTAATAATTCAGTTTCACATTTCAAGTAAATAATACTAATATTAAATCGTTGTGATATTAATATTAAATATATCTCTATTACATTTTAGCTATAAAATACTTGAAAGTTAGAAAGTGTGTTACATTTAGAATTTGCCTTATATTTCGGTTTTAGGAGTGTAGAAGTAGTTAATTTAGTGGGTGTTTTACCGAAATACGGGAAAAGGGGTTGGGGTTGCCAAAATACGGGAATTTTTCTAGGTTTTACCAAAAAACGGGAGTCGGAACTGGGTGTTCCGACTAGAGGTAGGGTTTCCAAAAATAACTCTTTCCTCCTGTCGGATTAGGGACTTCCGACTAGGAGTTTGTTTTTTTTTTTTGCAAATTGTTAAGTTTTTTATTTTGAGTTTTAAAAAACTAAAAAAAAACTCTTTCCTCCTGTCGGATATGCCACTTCCGACCAGGGGGGTGTTTAAATGAAAGCTTAATAAAATATGGCTTGGCCGAAAGTTTATCCAAATGTTTAAAAATTTATCCAACTTTTAAATTTAAAACTTTAACCAAAGTCTTTTTTAAGTTTATTTGAAAAAAAAAATTAACTCCTGTCGGATTTAAGAGTTCCGACTGCAGGAGTTTGATGTGTTATATTTGATTTTATTTTATCTGTTATTTTTTATTTCATTATACTTTATCTATTATATTTTATCTAATTAGTTTTATCTGATTATATTTATTTTGATACAATTTTATCTGATTATATTTTATCTCATTAATTTTATCTAATTATGTTAAGTAAATCATTGTCAATTTTACAACTCGTGTTCATCATATAGGCTGATTACATTTCAAATGATTGCATTCCTATTGGGTCGAATAGGGATATTTATGATCCGGGTCTAAAAATGTGAATCACAAGTATAGATATTAAAATTCCCTCTATTTGTTAAGTAAATCATTGTCAATTTTACAACTCGTGTTCATGATATAGGCTGATAACATTTCAAATGATTGTATCCCTACTGGGTCGAATTGGGGTTTTTACGATCCGTGTCTAAAAAATGTGAATCACAAGTGTTAATATTAAATTGTCATCTATATATTAAGGAACTCGTGGTCAATTTCACAACTCGTGTTCATGATATAGGCTGATTGCATAAAATTCGTATGATTGTGCCCTTATTGGGTTAATTTGGAGGTTTATGATCCGGGTCTAAAAAATGTGAATCACAAGTATGGATATTAAAATTCCATCTATATGTTAAGTAAATTATTGTCGATTCTACAACTCATGTTCATGATATAGGTTGATTACATTTCAAATGATTGTATCCCTACTGGGTTGAATAGGGGTTTTTATGACTCGAGTCTAAAAAATGTGAATCACAAGTGTGAATATTAAAATTTCATCTATATATTAGGTAACTCGTGGTTAATTTCACAATTCGTGTTCATGATATATGCTAATTGCATTTCGGAAGATTGTATCCTTACCAGGTCGAATTGGGGGTTTTATGATCCGGTCTAAAAAATGTGAAACACAAGTGTGAATATTAAAATTTCATCTATATATTAAGTAACTCATGGTCAATTTCACAATTCGTGTTCATGATATATGCTAATTACATTTTAGAAGATTGTATCCTTACGAGGTCGAATTGGGGTTTTATGATCCGGGTCTAAAAAATGTGAAACACAAGTGTGAATATTAAAAATCCATCTATATATTAAGTAAATCATTGTCAATCTTACAACTTGTGTTCATGATATATGCTAATTTCATTTCAGAAGATTGTATCCTTACTAGGTCGAATTGGGGTTTTTATGATCCAGGTCTAAAAAATGTGAAACACAAGTATTAATATTAAAGTTCATGACTCAAATAGGACTAATAGAAAAGTTAATAGCACAATTAGGACCACATACGAAACACAACTTTCATAGGATCAAATTCAATACAGTTGGACAAAAATACCCCTCTTTTATTTTTTTAAATTATAAAACTGTAAAATAAAAAATTATTGAAACCCTAGCAGTAGCATTGCCGCCACAAGAGCCAAACCGCCTGCCGTCACCCCTCGCCGACGCAACCTGCCGCCACCCCTCGCTGGCGAAACCTGCCGTCACCCCTCGCCAGTGAAACCTGCCGCCACCCTCTCCGGCGACGGCGCCCCCTATCGCCGCCCTCTCTGTCTATTGTTTGCCACTGCATCCTTGCCGACACACCATCACCGCCCCTTGCCGCCTCACACACCAGCGTCACCATCCACCCAAGCCACCATCCTCTGAGCACTGCCACGACAGTGACAACTCAAGCGGAATAATTTGCCATTAACTTAGCAGATTTAGCATTGGAGATTAGATTCACTTCTGCCAAGAACAAATGTTTCAGATCTGTCAAAAAAGTTGGCAGATTCAATTTGGCATAATAACACAAAACTGCCAAAAATTTGGCAAAAAAATAACACGAAGTAAATAACCAAATATTCAAACAACTAAAATTTTTAATGGAACAAGCGTATTAACACAATCATAAATTAGAAAAACGAAGCTATTGACAAAAAATAGAAAAACCAATTTATACAAAAGCATTTCTTCCATAATATGATTGTAAATGTACACATTTTTGCCATAAACTTGGCCAAATCTGAAGCAATCATCCAAAAATTTATGAAAATCGATTTTTTTTAAACTCTGAAATTAAAAACCAGAACATCGAAATAGAAGTTTGAAAAACCAGAACATCGAAATTTGGCAAAACAGAAGTCCAAAAATTGGAAAATTCAATTCAAAATCCAGAAAAACAGAGGAAAATCGAAGAAGAAGAAGAAGAAGAAGAAGAAGAAGAAGAAGAAGAAGAAGAAGAAGAAGAAGAAGAAGAAGAAGAAGAAGAAGAAGAAGAAGAAGAAGAAGAAGAAGAAGAAGAAGAAGAAGAAGAAGAAGAGGAAGAGGAGGAGGAAGAGGAGGAGGAAGAGGAGGAGGAGGAGGAGGAGGAGGAGGAGGAGGAGGAGGAGGAGGAAGAGGAGGAGGAAGAGGAAGAGGAGGAGGAGAAGAGGAGGAGGAGAAGAGGAGGAGGAGGAGGAGGAGGAGGAGGAGGAGGAGGAGGAGGAGGAGGAGGAAGAGGAGGAGGAAGAGGAGGAAGAGGAAGAGGAAGAAGAGGAAGAAGAAGAAGAAGAAGAAGAAGAGGAAGAGGAAGAGGAAGAGGAAGAGGAAGAGGAAGAGGAAGAGGAAGAGGAAGAAGAGGAAGAGGAAGAAGAGGAAGAAGAGGAAGAGGAAGAGGAGGAAGAGGAAGAGGAAGAGGAAGAGGAAGAGGAGGAAGAGGAAGAGGAAGAAGAGGAAGAGGAAGAGGAAGAGGAAGAGGAAGAAGAAGAAGAAGAAGAAGAAGAAGAAGAAGAGGAAGGGGAAGAGGAAGAGGAAGAGGAAGAGGAAGAGGAAGAGGAAGAGGAAGAGGAAGAGGAAGAAGAAGAAGAAGAAGAAGAAGAAGAAGAAGAAGAAGAAGAGGAAGAAGAGGAAGAAGAGGAAGAAGAGGAAGAGGAAGAAGAGGAAGAGGAAGAAGAGGAAGAGGAGGAAGAGGAAGAAGAGGAGGAGGAAGAAGAGGAGGAGGAAGAGGAGGAGGAAGAAGAGGAGGAAGAAGAAGAGGAGGAAGAAGAAGAGGAGGAAGAAGAAGAGGAAGAAGAAGAAGAAGGAGGAGGAGGAGGAGGAGAACCTTAATGGAAGCGGTGAAATCGGCGGCGTGCAAGAGGAACTCGATCGATCTGGTGCGCAAGGTGAAGTCAACGGCGGCGGTGATGGCCTAGGTAAAGCCGATCGATGATGCACAAGGAAGAAAGAGAAGACGTGCGCAGGGGAGAAGGGGAAACGGTTGTGCGTAGGGGAAGGGAGATGTGCTTAAAGGGATAAGGGGGTAATAATGGAATGAAATATACAGATGTTTTAAAATAGGAGTAAATAAATCCTATTTGGGGAAAAACATACATAGTCCTATTTGAGAATTTGTCTTCTCTTTTAGTCCTATATGGGGCAATTACTTAAAACTTTATACAGAATTAACAATTTCGACAGGAATTAAAAAAAAACAAAAAAATAACTGTATTTAAAAAATATGGCAGGAATTTGAAAAAACTTATGAATTTGGAATTAAAAGAATTTTAAACTTTAGTTTAAAAAACTTTTAAAATCAAAAGCTTTTACATTAAAAAATCAAATGCTTTTACTTTGAAAATTTGGAATTACATCAAAAGCTTTGAAAATTAGCAATTCAGCCACTAATAAATAAATAAAAAGAAACCCCCTAGTCGGAAGTGGCAAATCCGACAGGAGGATGTCTATTTTCAATATATTCTCGCACTCCCCTCCAGTCGGAATTAGAGAATCCGACTCTCCCTTTTTGGTAACCTAATTGCATGTCCCGTAAAATGGCTTGTCATACAGCAAAGTCCTGTAATTTGGTAATTTCCTCTAATTTCGTACTCCGTAATTTGTAAATTTTTTATTTAGATTGTGAAATTGGACTTTTAAAGTGAAATTTAGCTATAAAATACTTGAAAGTTAGAAGGTGTGTTACATTTAGAATTTGCCTTAAATTTCGGTTTTAGGAGTGTAGAAGTAATTAATTTATTAATTTGTAAATTTTTAATTTAGATTGTGAAATTGGACTTTTAGAGTAAAATTTAGCTATATAAAATACTAGAAACTTAGAAAGTGTGTTACATTTGGAATTTGCCTTAAATTTCGGTTTTAGGAGTGTAGAAGTAATTAATTTATTAATTTGTAAATTTTTAATTTAGATTGTGAAATTGGACATTTAGAGTAAAATTTAGCTATAAAATACTAGAAACTTAGAAAGTGTGTTACATTTGGAATTTGCCTTAAATTTCGGTTTTAGGAGTGTAGAAGTAATTAATTTATTAATTTGTAATTTTTTAATTTAGATTGTGAAATTGGACTTTTAGAGTAAAATGTAGCTATATTAAATACTAGAAACTTAGAAAGTGTGTTACATTTGGAATTTGCCTTAAATTTCGGGTTTAGGAGTGTAGAAGTAATTAATTTATAAATTTTTAATTTAGATTGTGAAATTGGACATTTAGAGTAAAATTTAGCTATAAAATACTAGAAACTTAGAAAGTGTGTTACATTTGGAATTTGCCTTAATTTTTATAACTGCTTATTTTAGGAATTTCAAATGGACCAAAACATTCCGTGCCCCGAGCCCGTTAACCGTTCACTACTCACGTTGCCACTGTGTGCCCATCGTGCGGACCGTGTATGGTATGAACCAGATTCTAAAGACTCGTGCTTGAAATGCGTCAGTTGCCCTTCTCACGCATTCGGAGATGAAGAGCGAGATCAAAGAGTGATAGATGTGTTAGCATATGCTGGCTTCTTGGGGGTAGAACACATTGCCCGTATGAAGGTGGATCATAGTTTAATATGTGCTTTGGTGGAAAGATGGAGGCCGGAGACACATACTTTCCATCTTCCATTCGGTGAGGTCGGCATTAGTCTAGAGGATGTGTCGATCATTCTTGGTTTGCCCATTCGGGGTATGCCCCTTAGTGGTCCAACCGTTAAGGGTAAGTCTCAGTGGATCGACCTGTGCACGCAGTCGTGTTGTTTCACTCCTCTAGAGACTGATATACGCACGAGTGATATCTCCATGAGTGTTGTTACCCGTCACGCGATCGTACCTGATAGTACAGACGAAGAGGTCACCCAACACACCAGGACCCTAATGTGGCAATTGCTTGGAGGGTTTTTGTTCCCTGACACGAGTGGGGCAAGAATAAGATTGTACTTTTTAGAGGTCTTGGCTGGAGACTTGGCTTTACCCCGTCGATGGAGTTGGGCATCAGCGGTTCTCGGCTACCTTTACCATAACTTGTGTAACGGCGCCAAGTGAGAAACCAAACAAGTTGGCGGTTGTATGCACTTGTTACAGATTTGGGCTTGGTCGAGGATTTTGATGGTCCGTCCCTCAGTACTTCAGGTCATTCAACACGACCATCTTCCATATGGTTGCAGGTATGTTGACAATTACATCTTAATAATTGATAATGATTATATATGACGTTAGATTTGTTAACTTCATATCGATAATCAATAGATGTAGGTGGGTCGTCCCCAAGTCATATAAGGGATCCCCAAGACACTGCATACGTTTGTACCAGGATGACCTAGACCGCATGAGTGAGAGTCAGGTAGTACTTGAAATTTTTACTTCCACCATACTATTCAATTTTCAATACACATTGTTTTATAGTTCTTAAATTGCAAATTAAACTTTTTACAGTTTGATTTCACTCCCTACGCATCCGAGGAACTCCCACCTATCATCCTTCAGGACGCTCAGCTTTGGTCGGCTAGGGTCATGCTCATATTTTGTAATATGGCCGAAATGCATTACCCCGATTGATTTCTTCGGCAGTTCCATATAAGGCAAGATACTCATGATGCTCCTTTGGCGGGTACTGATCATCACGACAATCGTTCCAACATAGTAATCGGTGCCTTGGCGATGTGGACGAACATACAACATAATATATACTTTCTTGATTATGATCGACATATGTCCGACAAAGCAACTAAGAGGTACAAAAAATGGTACAAGAAGCATGGCATGACATGTGTCCAGAACCCTTCTCACAATGTGCCCACGACAGGCTACACCCCAACATCACACGATTGGGGTATTGTGGTAAGTTTTTGAACACATACCATATTCATTAACATACATCGTGGCATATTATTTACACGTGATACATTTTTATGCAGAAGCAAGGCTTTTACGAGGTGAATCGGCTCTTAGCCGACCACGCGAGTCATGAGGGCTGTCAAAAACGACTACTGCAGATGGCCTGGACGTAGGTGATGAAGAGATGCTCCGCCGGGGCGTATTCCATTATGAAGATGAAGATGAAGGTGGAAGTGACGAAGAGGATGATACAGATGAACATGAAGGTGGGGGTGAGCACTCACAATCGCCCCATCAATTATCAACACATGGTGTCTCATTTGATCAACCACCCCCTCAATTCTCAACGCATCAAGGTGTCTCATTTGATCAACCACCGCCGTATTATGATTCTTATCAGTACTCCACATAAGCGGGTGATTATGTTGATTCTTTTCTGGATTCGTCATTTTACAATTGAGACACAACGGGGCCTTGGAACACTGGCGGTGGGGACGGAGCAGGGCCGAGCACGCAACGTTAGATATAGTATTAAATTTAATATTGTATGTACTGTCTATTCATTAATAAATTACATTGAAAACTACATTTGCTTTTTTCACTTCCATTAAACTTACAAAAATTGCACCTAAAACAAAATCAAATTGGTATCTCATTTGACCAATGGATTAAATCAAAATTCCACTTAAAATTACAAAAATTGCAATTACAACAAAATTCACAATACACACTACTACATTTTTAGACCTAATGTAACATTAGAGATGTAACATATCTATAATAGTGTTACCTATTTCTCTAATGTAACACTTTTTAGACCTAATGTAACACTTTCTAGAAGTATAAGTGTTACATTAGGTACTATAAAGTGTTACAATAGGTCAAATGCAACACCATCAAATGTAATGGTAAAAAAATGTTACATTTTCTCTAATGTAACACTTTTGAGAGAAAATGTAACATTATTTTACCATTACATTTGCTGGTGTTGCATTTGACCTATTCTAACACTTTATAGTACCTAATGTAACCCTTATACTTCTAGAAAGTGTTACACTAGGTCTAAAAAGTGTTACATTAGAGAAATAGGTAACACTATTATAGATATGTTACATCATTAATGTTACATTAGGTCTAAAAATGTAGTAGTGACAAATGGATTAAAAAACAATATAAAGCAATTAAATGTTTTCTATAGAGAGAGAGAAAAGTTGCAATAAATGATTTATAGAGGGAATGTGGACTGGGCTCACAGATCTTGGACCTGTGAGGCTCAATTACAACAATGGGTCACTAATGGGCTGTTTGCATGTGTTATGATCCATCAAGAGGGGCCTGGGGATTGTGAGGGCGATAGGTCTGAGATGCATGGGTGCACCTCGATCTTGATGATGGTTGTGCAGAGGTGCTTTCTTCCGAGGGGCGCATACAGGAAGTCCACCTCTTCATTGTGGATTGGGCTCTCTAAGTGGGCCTCATGTCTCTGGTATTGACTTGTGGCGTCAAACTGTCCAAGAGTATGTGGGCCGTGAGTGCGAGCCCATATACTCTATCATCTGGTATGGTCTGTTTTAGTCTGATCTAGTCTCATTTAGGACTGAAATCAGTCCAACTAAAAACATCTATATTGTTACTTTTATTATTGTTATTATTATTGTTAATATTCCTATTATTTAATTTTAGCCTCTCCTATCTGTATCCTTTAATGAGGGTTTAATAACTTCTAATTAACATTTATAGAAAATTTTAAATCTATTCCAATAACTAATAGATTCAATCATCTTTAAAAGACAAGGATGGAGTAAGAGTATATTTGTTATAGTGTAGCGATGTAAGTGATGATACATCAAACTTCAAGAGATCAATAATAATTTTTCAATAAGGCTAAAGTAATTACATCAGATGATTAATTTTGAAAAAAGCATAAGCGATTGCCAAAGTTAAATAACCAAGAAAAGAATATTTTAAAAAATCATATTCACGTTTTTTGAAAACTCAAATATTTTTAGATAGTAATCATTAGGAGCAAAAATGTTCAATGGCAAACGCTCAATGTTCAAACGTTGTTAACCAAGAAAAGTCAATATGACAAAATTTTTAGAGACATGAGGATTAGGAGATTAGATGTAAATGTTTTGAGTTTTAGTCTGCTTATATTTGGTTTGATTTGAACTTGTTTAGTCTCATAATGTTGAGTATGTTTATTTTAATTAGTGTTGACCAAGTTCAATCTCTTATCTGATACGATTTGTTAGTTTGAGTCAATGTCCTAAAAGGCGCTAGATGCTAGTCGGTCGCCAGCCTAGCGCCTAGGCAACTAGGTGGTCACCTAGTCGGGGACTAGTCGGAGACATAAAAATTGCATTTTTATCAACATTTTTGCATAAATATGATACTCCCTCCGTCCCGGAAAATTAGTCCCACTTTGACTTGGATCGGAGTTTAAGAAAGTGGGAATAAAGTGGAAATATATGGTTGTGGTTGAGTAAGAAAAAAGTAAATGAATGTTAGCCACACAAAACTTTCCAAAAAGGGAAATGGGAACAATTTTTTGGGACGGCCCAAAAAGGAAAATGGGACTTATTTTATGGGACGGAGGGAGTAATTAATAATGTATTTTTGTGTGTATAATATATATATATATATATATATATATACACACACACACACACACACATACATTAACAAACATGAATGATGTAATTATCACATTTACAAGAATAATGTATATACATGTATATTATAAAGTATATACATTAACAAACATGAATGATGTAATTATCACATATGTAGTGTATAATAACTAATCACTTAAAGTCATTATGTTATAAATGTAAAGAATAATAATATACACACACACAAACATATATAGTTTTTATCTTCATTTACAACTTCATTTCTGTATATCCATGACTAAAGTTAAAATAACTTATAACCCTTAGAAATATTAAAAAGTAAAGTAATGTTTGGTGAATCTAGACGACCTAGACGGTCGATTAGACGCTCTGGACAGACATAGTCACATAGGCACCATACACGTCCGACTAATTCATTTAAACGACAATCGAATTAGTCGGGACATCTAGACGAAAATTGGGGTGCCAAGCCACTGCGTAGCGCCAAATCGGGGACTAATCGGACGTTTAGAATGACTTTTATAACAATGATTTTCTTCATGAATGATTGCAAATACGAAGTACTTTTAAAGCGTTGGATAAAAAATTTCCATGTGTATAAATATTAACATTATAAAGCGTGGGGTGGAAGAAATTCGAATGGGTAATGACGATTTTGCACTTGTGCAAAAAAATATTGATTATCAAGTACGAAAAATTCTAATTAATTAGACCAACCATTGAACCACAATACCTAATTATACAGAGTATTAAGTATAAGGCATGCCTTATACGTGCATGGTATGGAAAAGTAAAGGGAAATTTTTTCCACTATGACAAAAACTTTTTGGGTTTCTTTAAATATAACTAGTACTACGTACTCCCTCCGGTTCTTATTTAAGTTCCCAGTTTGACTTCACACATATTAAGAAAATGAATTTGTCTTTATTGTGGAGTGCACTGTTTGACACTGTTTGACACTGTTTGACATTGTTTTGCACTGTTTTGTTTCCTAAAATGGAAGTGTGAACTTAAATAAGGGACATCCCAAAAAGTAAAGTGGGAACTTTAATAAGAACCGGAGGGAGTATTGTTTTTTGAAATTCGTATAACTTAAAAGAAAATGAAAGCATTTATTTAAAATATTGAATGACAAGAATACCCTTATTCAAAAAAGTGCAATGTGCGCTACTTTCAAGTCTCGATTGACATCAATAATAAAACATAAAAAATGGCCAAGCAAAAAGTTATTACCTGAACAACAAAAAACCAATTAAACCTAGTCTAATTACCATGTGATGATCATCACACAAATTTTAGTCATTTAAATCCACGGAAGGATTAATTATTAAACGGGGAGTTTTACTTTATTTATTTTAAAAACGGTCGAAGCTTACGTTATCTGCGCTGGCCATTCCTTTGGCTAGGAGTTCTTGCATCACTGCCTTGAAAATCCTCGCCCCTCTGAAATAATAGGTAGTACCCTACATCAAAGTAATATAAAATTATTCTGATCAGTAATATTACTCATTAAAATTAATTAAGCAATTAATCTAATATTAAAAGTGAACGTACATTCTCTATTATTTCAGAGCTCCCCGTAAAAGAAGAACCATCACAATACCTAATGGAAACTTTGTTCCAATTATAAAATCCTGAAACATTTCAAAAAGTAAATAAGTTCTTGTTATCAGCAAAATATCTATATATATCGTCAATTTATTTAACATATATATACGGAGTATTAGATATTTAATACAAAAAAAATTGTACTAAGTAAAGAGTATATATATATATAAATATATATATATATATATATATATATATATATATATATATATATATATATATATATATATATATATGTACTACCAGGGTTATGGTCTCGATTGTCGCTTAGTATGTCATCGAAGGATTGGAAGCTGACTGGAATTGCATCCTGATCAAGGCCTCTGTGCGTTATGTAATACTGGCAATCGATGACATTTTGACACCATCCACCACCCTAAGTTATATCAATTTTACACGGAGTATATATTGATCAAAAATAGCTGTACCATTTATTTTATTCTTAAATAATGAAAATGCAAACGTACTGCCAAGATAGAACCATGAATTTGCTATTCCCTATTGGTATTATTTTTCCAACATTTCCAATTACTCAAAATATAAAAATATAAACATTTAATTGTATACTATATTAAAATAAAAGGTAGTCATTTCATAATAATAAACTAATAATACTACGAGAAAATTCCATATATAGGACTAAAACATAAATAAAGTGCACATATAGGCCTATTATTATTTTCTTCCTAAAAATAAGACTTATTCACTCTTAATACCAGAAGTTTTATACTTTTAATAGGATCAAGTAAGTCACATTTCGGAAATTAAATACATGTAACCTTATTTAATTTGTGCATTTTGTCTAAGTTTTAGAATGTTTTTACTTGGATTGTAATTCGTCCCAGACCAGACCAGATCAGACCAGACCAGACCAGTTCAGACCAGACCAGACCAGACTTGGATAGTTATAAAAATACAAAGAAACCAGACCAGACCAGACCAGTTCAGACCAGACCAGACCAGACTTGGATAGTTATAAAAATACAAAGAAACCAGACCAGACCAGACCAGACCAGATCAGACCAGACCAGACCAGTAAATTAAAGTCCAAGTAAAAACATCCTTAGTCCTATTAAGATTAATTTCTATATTTAAAACAGTTTCGAATTAATAAAAAAGGTAGTAGATGAATATATTTCATTTTTTTCTTTTTGGGTAAGTCATAGATAAAAAAGGTAGTAAAAAAACTAGCTAGTTGTTGCACCTCTGTAAGTAATGTTTAAACACAAAATAGAGAGCGATAAGGAACATATGTATATGGGGATCGGAGCTGGTAGGATTACATTGAGGTATACAAGCCAATTGGTGATTCCGGTGTCATATCCAGGCAGCAAGTAATAGGCAGCTGGTTTCCCGCTCAAACAAACTGCACAAAAAAGATAATTTCGGAGTAAAAGAGAACATAAAGTACGTTAACACTCACTCTGCCTATATAATAGGAATCACATATTCCCGATTTTCAATTCTCATTTTTTACAATAACTCAGTAACGTATTATAATGAAAATAAATTACAATAAATTAAAGAAAATTTCAAACAAACAAAAAACGGAAGGCCTCTTTCATTTTCGAAAATAAAACACGGCTCCAACATTAGTTAAATATTTTCTGATCTACATCAAACTAATTTGATACATTTAAATATTTAATAATTAGTTTGTTCAAGGCCGGTTTACGGTGCAATTAGATGCGGAACGCAAACTGATTCTAGTATGGAACTGTTTTTAAAAAATAACAAATAATAATGAGTAATAATCATAATCCTGACTAGTTTTAAATTAGTTATTAGTAATAACTTAGTTTTAGAATAGTTATTTTAAAAGTCTTTTCACGGTCAAATAGTAATTACTTACAGTAGTTAAGTACCACTACGTAGTTTATGAAATAGTGATTACTAAATTAATACGGAGTAGTTTAAGTGATCACATTAATTTAAAATAGTTTTATTTAGTACTCCCTCCGTCCCATAAAATAAGTCTCATTTCAATTTGGATCGGAGTTTAAGAAAGTGGGAATAAAGTGGAAATGTATGATTGTGGCTGAGTAAGAAAAATGTACTCCGTAAATGAATGTTAGCCACACAAAACTTTCCAAAAAGGGAAATGGGAACAATTTTTTGGGACGGCCCAAAAAGGAAAATGAGACTTATTTTATGGGATGGAGAGAGTAATATTTAACTAGACTTGTCACGATCACTATTTCATTGAGCTATTAAACTAGTATTTAACTAAGTAATCACTATTTTGCACAAGGTGCAGTGCATGGGTAATAGTGTAGTCCTCAACATTCAACAATATAAAAGAAAATTGCTAATACACAAAATATTTAAGTACTTACCCGCACCATCATCTATGGTAACCAAAGTTGGATTCACCATAGTAGAGCTGCCTGAAAGCCATGCATACATTATAGTCAAACGTACGTAACAATAACCATGATGGCGGCATCGGCGGAGGCGGGAAAGCGGAGGTAATGTTTGAGTCTCGCCCCTGACTCCGTCTCCGGCCGCCATCTAGATTACTTTTGAGGAGGCTACATACCTTCGAGATCCACTGGCATCAGTTTGTGAACATCTTTGGTGTACTCGAAATCCTGCATGTCTTTTCTCCCACCAACTTCGACAGCGGCAAGTACGAGGGCAAAGAGGATAAGGAAATTGCGGTTGAGTGGACTAGCAGTTTTTGCCATTTTGCTTTGTGAGGTAAGCAGAGACTGAGAAGTGAGAAAGAGTGAACACAAGGAAGGAAAGTGATGATGAATATATAAGGAAAGTGATGATGAATATATAAGCAGAGACTGAGAAGTGAGAAAGAGTGAACAAATTTTAATGATATTTCATCCATCCATAGATCATAGAACTCCTGAAAATGTGGAGTTGCTTATTTGTACTCCGTATTTAATTATCTCAAATTGTAGGAATGGCTTAAAGCAAAGTGTATTATCATGTAATATGTCTGCATATTTCGTATGAATCAAAGGAATACAAAGGCTACATGTAAAGCAGTAGCATACGTTGCTAAACAAGCTAATAAACAATGAAAGGAAAGAAATAAAATACATTCCTTGAATAAAATGTAATGCCAATAATGACTAGGCATAATATATGGAATCACATATATTATGTCGAGTTAAATGCATAAATATAATGATAACTTAAATATCGGTAATGTTGCACATGGGTACCTTAATTAACTCTTAAATAAATCAAAACGATATCTTAACTATACATAAATGTTTGAAATTGAGATTTTATTCAAAATTACATGTGTAGAGTCACCTTATAAGTGATGATATGGACAAGAGTAAGGTGAAGTAGACTTTATGCATAAAATTCTGGCCGCCACATGTAATTTTTTGGTCAGAAATTTGAATAAAATCTCAATTCGAAACATTTATGTATAGTTAAGGTATCGTTTTGATTCATTTAAGAGTTAATGTACCAAAACGCAACATCATCAATAGTGAGTACCATTTATGCATTTGACCCATATTATGACGATAATACAAGTACTACCTCCGTTCTTAAATAAGTGCAACATACTAAATTTTACACTATTCATGATGAAACGGTTAGCAACACAAGAGGGGGGGGGGGGGTGAATTGCGTGTGTGTGGAACCGTGGCAGTTTTTCGCACAGTTCTAGTGTGGGGTTCAGGGAAATGCGAAATAGTAAAGTGCACAAGGATTTAACGAGGAAAAATCTCTTGGCTCAAAGGGATTAAACAACCTCGACCTCCCTCGAAGGGATTAAAGACACGGTTATTGCTTTGATCCCTAAGACCACACATTCCCCTACAGTAGCTGATTTCAGACCAATTGCTTGCACTAATGTTATCTACAAAGTCATCACTAAAGTCTTGGCTAAGAGATTGATTCCTTGTCTGTCGGACCTTATTGATCCTGCCCAAGGGGCCTTTGTGGATGGAAGACTTATGATTGATAATGTCTTTATTGCCCAAGAATTGGTCAAAGGCTATACCAGGAAAAGAATATCTCCTAGGTGCATGATTAAGATTGACCTTAAGAAAGCTTATGATACCATATCTTGGGACTTTCTGGCTACAATGTTAACACACTTGGGATTCCCTAGGAGATTCATTGGATGGATTATGGAGTGTGTCACCACACCCTCCTACTCCATCTCAATAAATGGAATTCTCCATGGTCATTTTAAAGGGAAAAGGGGATTGAGACAAGGGGATCCCATGTCCCCCCTCCTATTTGTACTTTGTTTGGAGTATTTATCAAGATTGTCGAATGTAAGAACACAAGATTCATGCTTTAAGTACCATCCAAAGTGTGGCAGCCTAAAGATCTCCCATGTTGCCTATGCGGATGACTTAATGCTTTTCTCAAAAGGGCATAAACCATCCATCAAGATCCTCGTTGACTCCTTGGAGGAATTTGGCAGAATTTCGGGCCTCAAAGTTAACTATGACAAATCAAATATCTTCCTTGGAGGTATGGCTGATTATGAGCTGAATAGTATCCTTGAATTGGTGGACTTTAAAGTTGGAGCTTTTCCTGTCAAATACCTTGGGGTTCCCTTGGCCCCTCTAAAGGTATCTGTGGCACAATTTGCTCCCCTTCTTGACTCTGTAACTAATTTCATTAGTGCTTGGAATCTTAAAACGCTTTCATATGCTGGTAGGATTGAGCTTATTAAGTCTGTGATACAAGGGGTTCACTCTTTTTGGCTCCAAATTTTTCCTATCCCTAGGACTATACTTGATAGGATTACCTCTATATGCCGTATTTTCCTTTGGGGTGGCAAGTACTCCAGGGTTTCTTGGGCTGATATTTGCCTCCCTAAGGAAGAGGGTGGACTTGGGATTCATGATACTAGAGTTTGGAACTCTGCCCTACTTGCTAAGATTTTTTGGGATATACATACTAAAAAGGATACACTTTGGGTTAAATGGGTTCATGGAGTGTATCTAAATGGCCGTGATGTGTGGGAGTTCTCCCCACATCATAGAGACTCACATCTAATGAAAAAGATGGCCTCAATTAGGGATGAATTTTTGGGGAAATTTGGGGGTACCGTAGCTGCTATTCAGGGTTTAAATGCTTTACAATTCAATGGTAAGCTTAGTTCTTCCAAAGTCTATAATTTGCTTAGAACTAAAGCTCCCAACCGTTGGTGGATGTCATTTATTTGGAAGAATTATATCCCCCCAAGTTTTCCTTTACAACTTGGTTGGCATTCCGAAATAGGTTGGCTACATATAACAATCTCCACCGATTAGATGTAGTCAACGTATGTGCTTTGTGCAAGGGTGGGCTGGAAACAGTCCCACACCTATACTTTGAATGTCCTTTTACAGGTAAAGTTTGGAGCTTGGTGAAGGAGTGGCTGCACATCCCACGGCTTATGGGGTCTTTGACTAGCGCTGTCAAATGGCTAAAGAAGGAGAGGAGTGGAGCAACCATTCAAGCAAAGGCAGCTAGGATAGCTTTTTGCTTCTCAGTCTACTGGATCTGGAGAATCAGGAATGTCACAAGATTTGATGGACTACTACCTAAGGAAGAAGAGGTTTTTGCAAGGATAAAGTACATTGTGTACAAAGTCTTGTATAATATTTATCCACACGAGTTGGTGGTTTTTTGAAACTTTGAGGCCCCTTATTTGTTTTGGCTTATAGTTGCTGGGGGTTAGCTTAAGTGGCGGCAGTTGCCTTGGTTCAATCAGGTTATTTGTATCCAAGATACTTTTCAATGATAAATTCGACATACCTAAAAAGCCTAAAGAAGTTCAAATAGAACGGAATTAAAATCATATATTAATTCCTATGATCACATCTAGTTAACTAAATAATATGGACTTTTAATTATTTAGCTCCCACTATTTTTACATGCTCTTTGACCCCAATAAAAAGAATATGGATTGTTTTCACAATCATAGTGGCCAAGATCCACATTCATACTATTACAGTCCCAGCTTGGGCTGATCACTGCAATAATATAATGGGTAGGTCCCTAGACCAATTGCGTCCAAGCAATTCTTGGTTGATCAATTTTTAATTGATCGACATCCCTAAATTAACACTGACGCTTGGGCGACTCGAGCTAATTTAGGTAAGTCAAAACCATCACACGATCACAAACATATGTATCTATAAATTAGTTCTGTATTTTGTCGAATGGAATAAACACTTGGGTGAAATATTCTTCAACGAAAAAATATTTCTACTAATTTAATTATGATGGGTGATGTCGTTATCCTAGATAAGACTTAAATTTTAATTTATGGGGAACGTTTAAAGGGTATTAAATTACTTAATCAAGATGCTAATAACATATTATCAAATAATATGTTAATGAGATCTAACTCAGACAAATAAATTAAAGCATGCAATATAGATCTAATTTATAACTAAAATAATGTAATAGTCAGCATCTAAATACATAAGCATGCTAAAAACAACAAGTCAATTATCGGTTAAATTTAATCCAAAAAAAAATCTCAAAAAATTAATCTAATTAATAACAATAATAGTTAATTTGATCCAATCCAACTATTATAATTAAATCGATAATAATCCTCATTAGCTTAATTTGTGACTTGCGTGAAGGAGAAAGGATCCACATTGGACTCTACGTACCGGAGTTTACTTCAAATTAGAATTTCAAATTTTCTAGAAAAAAAAAACTTTCTCAATTAGTCAAATTTCCAAAGTCAGCCCAAAAATAAATTCCAAATCATGGCATGAGTTGTGATCGAATCTCCAGTCTCCATCATAGAATCGAAAGACAAGTATACGCAGAGAGCAAATCGTTTCATACGGAGTATTAGTTTTAGATTTCAATTCTAAAACTAAAATCTTAAATTATTACTCTAACTTTTGATTTCAAAAGCAGATTCGAATTTTAGATTCGGAGATAACACCAGGGACGAATATAGATCCAAAAAATATACTTCCTATAATGTCATTAGAATCAGTTTGGCTCTGATACCACTGTTAGGAAATTGATGTAACGTACCTCGAAAGTACGACAGCGGAAGTTTAAAATTTTCCCAAACAGATCTTCCCTGATTATGACAAAATAACGAATATGATAATAATAACAGATCTGAGTTACAACTTACAGATCTCCCAGCCTAGTGGTGATAATCCTTGACCTTTGGTATCCACGTGATTTCTCCTTTTCGAAAGAACGGTTAAATCTCCCTAAGAGAAAGACTAGGAAATCTCTTCGCAGGGAAAAAAACTGGTAATACTGAATCTGAAAACTGGTCTCTTAATTATGAAGGAGGAGGATGTATTTATACTAGTTCTAAACTAGTTTACTAATCACAATTAAAGACTTCCTCATTAATGAGTTCTAGTCCTATCATGACTAATATCATTTATTAATTATATAAAGATATAAATAATAATAACAAAACTAGTCATACGTATTAAAGAAGAATGGGGGCTGCCGCCACCCTCATCTTCTTAAAAGACTTATTATTATTATTTTATATTTTCTTGAATACACTAATTCTAAATTGTGCACAAGAAAATATCAACTTTAATTAATTATAAATACATCTTAATTAAGTATAATAAATCTAATTTATTCCACTTAATTAATTCTATCAAATAGAACTCTCCTTCAACTTCATGAAATAAATATGTTTAATCTAATTAATATTTAATCCATTTTCAGTATTACTAATTAAATATTATTTAATCCAATTAATAATATTTAATTCCTTCTAACAATTCAATCGGAAGGTATAATCACTTGTTGTGTGACCCATAGGGCCTTATATATTAAACACTAATCAAATTAAGGTCTTAGTAGAATCCCTAGACGATTTACCAGACAAACTTAATATATAAGGACGTTTGCGAGGACTATTCAAACTCCCTGTAATATAGAGCTCATAGTGATACGGTCCTTTCATTCAGCGAACATTCAACTAAGTCTAGAACATGATATAGTGTCTATCCCAATAACTCAGTCTCTGTCTCTCAATCTTTCTAGATGATCCATAACGATCATATTCGATATCCAAAACGAATATATCTTTGCATTGGCCAATGACTTTGTGATCCTTCTAGATATGAGAAGTAGAATGTTCTCTCTTAATCTATTATGAGGAATGAATCCTTTCTTGGCTCAACTACTACTCCATGTGCTTCGTGATGCACCCAACACATGCCGTATCTACCCCGATTGGAGTGCAAGCGTTGGTCATGGTCAAAGTACATCACTCCGCACATGTAGTACGTATTGACCTCAAGTCGGAGGACTATTACACTACTTTATACGCCGATAATCCCATAGACACATGAATAGAACTTATCAAATGGTTTCTCGGTGGGTATGCCAATATTCTCTAAAATATCTATGTGACCATCATGAATTACAGGAACTCATAGTCGTGAGATCAACTATACTTTCTAAAAGTATGATGCAGTCCACATACCAATCTTATCGCATATCATCAATATCCCATTCTTGATGATCATTGATTGGGGCTCTTTTAGGACCTTATGTTATATCATATAAGCTCCCACTTACTTATTGACAACATAAATCCAAGGGAACACAATTATGAATAAAACATTGACAATCGAAAACAATCATTCATAAAGTGTAATACCGTGTATATATCAAATATAAAAACTAAATGTGATCAAGTACATATGTCTTTAAAGAAATGATTGTCGTTAGGACATATATACTAACAACTTAAAAAAGAAGCCGGGCCAAGAACCAAGTAGTTATTTATAGATCTTTCAAAAAAACAAGTAGTTATATATAGATACAACATACTCCGCATTACTTTAACACACTTTATAAGTTACGTACTTAATATACTAATACTTGTAAACTAATACAGTTTTAGAATATGTTTTATACTCCCGTGACTATATTAAAATAGTTATTATTAGGGAAAAATGGCCCAATGATTATTATTGTGTTAAGTACTACTCGTATTTTAAAATAGTGATTACTTAGTTAAATACTAGTTTAATAGCTCAATGAAATAGTGATCGTGACAAGTCTAGTTAAATATATTACTAAATAAAACTATTTTAAAATAAAGTGATCACTTAAACTACTCCGTATTAATTTAGTAATCACTATTCACTACCAGAAATTCATAATTTAGTGGTGGAATTTAGTGACGAAATTTGAATCTGTCATTAATTAGTGACGGAAGTCGTGGCAGAATCTTATTCGCCACAAATTAATGGTGGATTGTGTCTGTCACTAATTAGTGACGGATGTTAGTGGCGGATTCAGTCAGCCACTGTTTAGTGGCAGATTTTTGTGATGGATTAGTCGTCATTAATTGCCAGCGGTCATTTTCCGCCACAAAAATCTGTCACTAAATAGAGGAATGCAAAGTATTTATATGTCATGCTTTTTTCAGCAATTAATTACTTAATTGAAGTTTAAATGTGTGTGTGTGTATATGCATATATGTCGGGATGTTTTTACTTGGACCATTTTAGTCTCAGACCAGACCAGACTTGAATAGTTATAAAATACACAGAGATCAGACATATATACTAACTAGACCAGATCAAACCGGAGCAACAAATTTCTGTCCAAGTAAAAACATCCTTAAAGATGAATTATATGAATATATACAAGTTAAGTCACATATTTAGTACTACCTCCGTTCCTATTAAAACTTCCAAATAGGTTTGGCACAGAGTTTAAGATAGTGGGTATTGAGTGGTGGAGAGTTGTGCAGAGGAGAGAGAAATGTGTAAGAAATGTTGTGAACCACAAATTCTTTACTAAAAAGGGAAAGTGGAAGTTTTAATTGGAACAGACGAAAAAGGAAAGTTGGAAGTTTATTTAGGAACGGAGGGAGTAATAAACTACGTAGTACACCGTAGTACTTAACTACTGTAAGTAATTACTATTTCACAGTGGCTGTTTACTTTATGTTCACTTGTACTCCGTAATTATATTTTTGTGCAGTATGTTTGAGCGGGAAGCCAGCTGCCTATTACTTGCTGCCTGGATATGACACCGGAATCACCAATTGGCTTGTATATCTCAATGTAATCCTGCCAGCTCCGATCCCCATATACATATGTTCCATATCGCTCTCTATTTTGTTTTTAAACATTACTTATAGAGGTGCAACAACTAGCTAGCTTTGGTCATAAATCAGTAAATTTTGAGTAATGAATTTAAATTTATTTAAAATCTAAGCCAGGTGATGTTTTACATATTATTAGACGCATTTATCCATTTTGAAGAAGGGGCCGGGGTAAAAAGCTATGTTTAAAAAAACGACCCTGACCGGACAGTCGACCAGGAACCCAGTGAGCTAGAACAAAGCTCCGTTTAGTTAGTTAAAACTTCGAAAGTTGTCAAAAACTGGAAAAACTCAGCCAGCCCGGACTCGAAATTCCGGAAGTCCAATTTCCATACCCAAAAAGAAAAAAAATGAAATATATTTATCTACTATCTTTTTTATGAAACTGTTTTAAATATAGAAATTAATCTTAATAGGACTAAAACTTAGACAAAATGCACAAATAAGATTACATGTATTTTATTCCCGAAATATGACTTACTTGATCCTACTAAAAGTATAAAACTTCCGCTATTAAGAGTGAATAAGTCTTGTTTTTAGGAAGAAAACAATAATAATAGGCCTATATGTGCACTTTATTTATGTTTTAGTCCTATATATGGAATTTTAAGTAATGCTCAAAATATTTATATGGAATATGAATAGGAAATAATTAATATTCAAGGAAGAAGATTAAAGAAAATAACTCACAACTTATAAATTCATTAAGCTTCAAAGTAGCAAAACCAAGATGGAAGAGTTTAGCTTCTCATTTGGAGACTAAACATGAAGAAAATATAAAGAAAGAACTATTCTAGACTGAGCTTATAAGTATGTAGGAATTTGGATCTCTAATTGTCAAGGAAAGGGGGTATATTTATAGGATCTTGGGATGCAGCTCGGGTACCCGATCGGGTATATACATGGTACCCGATCGGGTATGTGTAAATTTCCAGATTTGAGGTATACTCGATCGATTATAGGCTATATTCTATAGGTATACCCGATCGGGTGTGCTTTTATACCCGATCGAGTATGTGTAGAAAATGATATTCGGGCTATACTCGACCGGATTTGGGGTTAAACTCAAAGGCATACCCGATCGGGTATGTCGATCTACCTGATCGGGTATAGACACTCAATCGTGGTCAAAATCTTCCCTGCATGTTCCTTTGTATTCGGATCCGATCCGATTTGAAGTTTCAACAAGATACCCGATCGAGTATAGATGATACTCGACTGGGTATATAGACCAAAAATTCAGGATCCTATTTTCTCTTGAGATTATGCACCTTTCTTCCACTTTTGGGGTTACGTTCACCAACTGTGCTTTAAGTGATCAAGACCTGTTTGAGCTCAGAATGAACCTAATCTAAACAATTTACAAGAATTTAACAAACTAAACTATTACACCAAAAGTGTGTAATTTCTAAAGTAAAAATCAATCAAAACTAATTAAAAATACAAACATACACATGCAAATTACATGATTATCAGCAATCAATGCATTCAAAGTATGTTTTAATAACTAATTATTTTATGCTCATGTATGTTTGATTCAATGTTATAACCTATCTCATATTCAAATTTATTCATGAGACACATATGTAGATAGATGATAATGCACATCTAGAACCATTTTTTTTTAAATTTTAGATTTAGAACAATAAGATAAAGAGCAATGACTAACATTGGTATTGATTACTACATATTACATTTATAACGAATATCTAATTGAACATGACAAAAGATTTGTTTACCTTTTTAAACTGAAATAATATGATTAACATTCTTTGAAACATTGATGTTTAAATCCATAGGTATTGATTACAATTTATTTTACAAAGGTCACTACAATGTTCAAAACAGTTTTCAAAAAATAAAAGAACTAAATTCTTGAAACATGAAAGGGTAATAACAACTTCAGTCATGAACAAAGCAAAATCAAACAAGATAACTGGGGAATGGGAACTAGGAAATCCCAGGAATGAACAATATATAAAATTAAAAGATACATATAGCAAGTTGGTAAACAATAGACTTCATAATCAGAGTGAGAGTGAAGTTAGGAAGAAGTGTGAAGCAGACTCTCGAGAGTTCCAGAGCTGTGATGGAGTTGGGTTATACGGAGTCACAATGTCACATACATTGAGTTATTTTCTAGGCCTACAATCATGGGCTGGACCAGTACTAATGGGAGTCCAATTATAAGAAATTGTGTAATGGTTAATGTAAATGTTTTCAAATATTTTAGCCCAAATTTCCAAATCTCCCATTCTCCAGATTTTTTATATTTAAATATATTACTTTCAATTAATAATATATATTTGAACACTTTCACTAAGAAAAAAAATTATTCTTACTAAAAAATATAAATCCAACATGAAGTTGAAATTATTAAATAAGTACGTAGAGCTTTATTCACCGGTAGCTGTTTTACTTATTTGAATGTCACTATTGATTTGGAATATAGTAGAAATTATGCATTGATCAGCCACCAAATAATTAATAAGGATTTAATAGAAGTCTTTATTAAATCACTTATATTTTACTGCGGCGTATCACTTATATTTTCAATTTTTAAATTAAAGTGTTTAATGTTATACTGAGTAGATATGAATTGTAATGGTATATGAAGGATGTAGATCATGTGATAGTATATACTCCGTATATATTATTCTGTACATATTTATTTTAAATCAAGTACAGAAATTACCTAACTCTTCAAATTCATATATTTACAAAATTAACTTTGTTTCATATACATTTAGGGACTAAGACGCTATTACTCAAACGCACTCATTACAAACAAAAATAAAATTGTCCCATCGTGCATCGCACCGGTACAATACTAGTTTTTATAAAAGTATAAATTTTACAAATTATATACAAATATAATAAATAAAATCATCGTCCAAAGTTTGTCATAATTGATCAAGAAATGTCAATATGGCAAACCTTTTCGGGACGAAGGTAGTATAAGGGATATGATGTATAAGGGATTGGCTTAGTGTATCTAAGGAAAAGTTTTATGTTTTAATTTACTCCTGTTAAGTGCGCGATATCTAGGGATGTTTTAATTGTGTTAATTTGTTCAGAGGAGAGAGAAATAACAATAACCACAAAATAATTGATTAATAGAGAAAGTTGTAAAGTTTTTTGGAACGTTCCAAACAAGGAAAGATGACAAAGTTTTAAGGCACGACGGAGGAAGTCTCATATAGGTATACATAATTGAACGTAGTATGAGTTTTGAACCAGTGAATTGAACTACGGAAGTGAATAACAATTTAAGCGGTAGTTCATCAAATTTTAATTATTCGTACGAGTATAAATTAAAGTAACTCATCAAACAATTAATAACAATTGTTCGTAAATACTACTATCTCCGTCCCGGAATTATCTCCTTACTTGACTTGGCACGGGTTTTAAGATAGTGAGAAATGTGTGGTGGAGAGTTGTGCAGAGGAAAGAGGAATGTGTAAGAATGGTTGTGAACCACAAATTCTTTGCCAAAAAGGGAAAAAGGAGATAAATTTGGGACGGATCGAAAAGGAAAGAATGAAGATAATTCCGGGACGGAGGGAGTAGCTAGTATTTGTTATTTGCAGGCAACCCACATGTCATAACTGTTAATCCAAACCTCATCAGAACTTCCAAAAACCATGTAATCAATTGCATTGTCAAAACCTATCCATATGTTGTAGCAATCGCTTCCCCATGTTCGAAGCTGTGAGCAACATTCAGGTGAGGGGACTGTTGTACTAATTGTCTTCCCATCTTGTTGAACAAGCTTAAGAATTTGTTTTCTACATGCATAGGAAGGTGGTTTCTTGTTCTTACATTCAGGCAATTTCTGCACTCTTTCAATCACACCTGGATCTTCTCCATCAACCATTGCATTTGCAAATCTATGTTTTTCCATTAATAATACCAACCCAATTATAAAGTACATATTGATTTTGAGGTTATGTGTCCCCTTTTCTATGTCAATTCTTTTCATTTTTCGTTTCCCTCAAAGTCGATATGTGTATACGTATGTGCCTAATTATTTTACAAACAGCCCGCAGCTTGTGTTTGACATACATGTATACATATAAGCTTTTTCATACGAATGTTACAACATTTATTTAGAGCGTAACATAAAGACATACTTAGTACTCCCTCGATTTCATAATTAAAGTCACTGTCAAACTTTTCTAGTCAAACTTTGGCCCTTTATTACTCAAAATTAATACAGACTAATACTTTATCCCAAAAAAATTATATAATATGTATTATTCAAACGTCAATTTAACATAGATTTTATATGTATATATTAATAGGAAATTATCGTCAAACGTCCCCCTAGGAGACCACAAAAGTCAAATTATGACTTTGATTATGAAACGGATGGAGTAATAAATTTGATTCTTATCTTATAAATAAGCATCTGGTCAAACGTATAAGTTGTTATTGTATTCACATTAAGTAGCTTTAAATTGATATTTTGCTATATACTACGTATTAATTACTCCTATTGTTCTACTTTAATTTGCCCTATTAATCGATGGAACTCATTTTAGTGTAGTCGAACATGGTGTTTTAATAAGTGATTGTAACGGACCCAAAAAACAAATGAATGTACCGTACCAGTCATAGATTTATTGAAGCAAAGAAAATAATAGGTTTATAAGATATTGAATTGAAATAGCTAATGGATTAAAATTGATCTTTTAGTATTATTTGGCTTTCTCGAGATTATCTTAACCTAACTAATAAAGGACACATATTCTTATTAAATGCTACACCCTCTTGGGACTTTGCTTTCTCCACCTGTACATTGTGCTACTATTGTTATACCCTGATTATTAAGCAGATGAAGACGTTAACCGGTCGCTTACTTGCTTCACGCCGTCTAACTTTACCTGTTCAAACCAAATGGACTCCTTCGGACTGCTTCTTTTTTCCAATTCCCTTTCTGAAGCTAAACGGCCGTACTCTTCCACCGATCGTTCCAGAAGTTGTAGCATCAATGGGGATTTCATTCAATTCCTATTCAATGATGAAATTTGATCAGTTTCAAATTTTTGCTCAATCAAATCTCCGTTTCGGAATTCTTAAAACTCTTCCTCCCATCATTTGACATGCCCACCGGAAAGGGCTGCGTATGGTCAGAGCACGCCCCCCGCATCGATGGGCTTTGGGCAGAGCTTTCACTTTTGGTCCCTCCTGCAGCCATTTCTACTCCTCCGACCAAGATTCTTCCCTTCGCACACGCCGCTTCTTCTCCGGCTTCAATTAAACCTCTCTGTTCCTTCATTCAATCTTCCGTCTCAACACCCCTCTCACTCTCCACTGCTACCGTAGCTACAAGGCCACTCTTCTCCGTCAATAGCCAGAGCACCGCCGTCCAATCTGAATCGGCATTTTCATTAACTAGAGGTCAGAGTAAATTTCTCAATTTTTTCGATTTTGTAGTGAAATTTTGGAACCCCTTTTTGAATACTTGAAATTTCTTTAAAATTTGAAACCTATTCTGAAATTTAATCCATAAATTAAGAAAAATTAAATATGATTTGGTTTTCGTATTTCCGGCAAATCCCAAGGTTCAAGAGATGTGTGTGTACGAGATCAACGAGCGAGATCGTCGGAGCCTGGCGTACCTCCGGCTGAGCTACAACAAAGTGAACTCCCTCAGAGATTTGATCCATGTGTTATTTGTTCTTCTTTATAAAAAAAATCTACATGACTGTATGCAACTAAACCTCGATTTTGTGGTATAGGTGCTTTTAATACTTTGCATATAATATGTTTGATAAAATGTTTAGGTGAAGAAAACTATTAATCTGAAAACATTTTGTGTAATAATCTCTTAACTTTTGGGTTAGTTTCTTAATAGCATGCATTTGGATATGATATTCCCTGTCAACGTGGGGAAAACGAATCAAAGGGAATGTGATAGAAATGTATGGTGTGTGAAAAATATTCAAAGTTAAGAAAAATATTTTTGTTATTTTGATTGATTTCTTTGTCTTTATACATTGATTGAAAGTGTATTATTTCTTAATTTGTCGCGCGAGCCGGTAGGTATGAGGACGCTTCAACTCATTCTATGGACACTCCAATCGCTTATTCCATCATGGAGGTATATATGTTCTTCGTACATGCTTATATTGTGAATTTTAACTTTTTTGAATTACAACTCTTAAACTTTCATTAATAATTTTCTTTTTTATCTTCTAGGGTCATGACGACAAGAAGTGAAAAAAACTTTTTTTGTAAATCCTTTTCTTCAACTTATAAAATCATAACAAGTTCCACTTTGTTCCTATGAAAAGCATGTTATGTTACTATTTTTACCTAATTATTACTTCGTATTATTATTGAGGTAATTAACTGATTATTGATTTCTAACGAATTCCTTTTAAGGATGATTTCTAACTAAATAAACTGATGATGAAATATTGGTAAAATGACACACTTCCATTTATGCTTGAAAGTGTCAAACATATAATAAGTGCTCACTCTGTTTTATTTTCCTTATCTGTAAAAAATAATCTTAATTCAAATATAGGTTTAGTTGCAAAATGTAGGTTTGTCCTTTTAAGTAGCATACAGGTTAATGAAGATGAGTTTTTTTTCTTCCTTTAAATCGGTTTTAAAGAAATTGTTAACTTTTTATTTTCATCTTATAGATGATGATGTCGATACTATCAGTACTATGTAACATGGTAATAAGTGTTCACTACGTTTAGTTGCAAAATGTAGTTTTGTCCTTTAAGGGTGGAAAAATGCAGTTTTTATCGTAATGCATACTGCACTATTTGTTTTCTTGCTTATTCCATGTATTATGGAACCCGTTTCCTTTCCTTTTACTTCTAATCGAAATTAATCATTATTCTCTTCCCTAGGTGTAGGTGCTTTTAATACTTTGCATATAACCTGTTTGATAAAATGTTTAGGTGAAGAAAACTATTAATCTGAAAACAATGTATACCATCTATGGGTATTTGCGTGTTTTTAATTAGTCCTCTATTATTTGTTCAAAGAGCAGCCCTAAATGTGTTTCTTCGTTTCTCTTCCTTTTCTGGATTTCCTCTTCATTTTCTCTTTTGAATGTATTTCTTCATTCCTTCTTCTAGATACTTCGTAGAGTCCAATAACAAGTTGCATGATAGGTCATTAACAAATCCAACAGCTTTTAGTGTTGGGCATATTACATTCGTGCAACGCGCGATCTAATTTCTAGTGATTCTAATATACATGGAATATAACATTATTACTCTTGGAGTTATGAATTATGAGGAGCTCTTGGAGTTGGACTTGTACAAACAAACTTGCATTAATAGCTTATGAATCATTTAAAACACTCACCTATTTAATTTCTTAATTATTGGGAAAGTATTTATTTATTTTACAGTATATACAACTTGTGCAAAGATAAATATAACTTTTTGAAATGAACAAATATGTGACATGAAGGCAACACAATTCTATAACAGGTGTTATTTGAATTTAGAAAATGAGCACCATTAATTATTTTTCTCGGGTATTTATTTATTTGTTCGGTTAGAATAATCTCTTGTGCACTTTTTATAGATGGTCTTACACTATTCTGAAAGACAATTTTTAGTGAATCGTCCGGCACCATTCTTGTGCAATTGTGATGAGAATAGAGTGCATTTTTATGATTTACGGTATCCTAGCTAAGAAAATGGATAAAGAAGTGTATATGTGAATTGAATATGCACCTGCATAACTAATTCAACCTTACATTTTAAGATCAATTATTTACCCCTTAAGTTTTGATTATTCACACTATTTACCCCTCCGACCATGCAACTTTAATCATACTCCATATCTAACTTGATATATTGTTAAATCAAATGAAAGCTAGCTCTCTAAATTGTACGGAGTATTCTTTTAGAAGTCAAGATAATCCATCATCGTGATTATGACCATATCGTGATTATAACCATATTTATTTCTTGGTATTTCTTTTTCGCTACACGCGAAAGAAATAACATTGAGATTAATTGAACCGATTGAATTGCAAATAAAACTTCATATTCTTGATCAAAAAGTGCCTAGAATTTTAATAACACATGTTTTAAACGACATTATATTCTTTAATGTATTTCATCAGTATTACTCGTAAGTCTACTCTCCTAACTACTCTCATTAATATTGATTCTAGGAGTACCTAAGTAGACAAAATAACAATCAACAACTATGATTAACATTTTTAAGTAGATTTTGTAGACAATTTTCATTGAATTTTAGAATTATATAGATCCAATTTAACAGCTATTAAAATGAGGGAGCAAACAATGAGCATGATCAGACCTCAAGGGGGAATTAATTGTTTTTCAAAATGCTAGGTTGCTTTATAATTACTCCGTATGACATAACCTCAAGTGGGTAAAAGTATTTTTTCATTTATTAATTTAATGATTTTGAAAATGGGTGCAAGGAAATATATGTTGTATAATCATTTGATTTTGCACTACATTCCTTGTCATTAATGTGAATTGAATATGCCACTACATATACGATGCCATGAATGTGTGCACCCCATGTAGCATAAAATTACTTGTTGTTATATTTGTAATCCTAATTCTAGTTATATTCTTCATGATGCTTTAATGCTTAGATTGGAAGGTAAAGCATGATTAGAAATTAATTTTGGTCTGGCCCGTTTCAGTCTCTTCCAATACGGTTTGGGCCTGTTTTTATGTTAGTCCAGCCCGGTTCTCCTTATTTGACACAGCTCATTTGATTCGCATATAAAACGTCTCCTTCCTCCCTTCTGGAGACATCTTTGCGTCATTTTGAAACCCTAACTACATAGAGGCGATTCTGAGAGCTTATGCGTTGAATGAGTGAGAAACCTCTGGTTTTTTCTGTTCGTTCGATTCTACATCACTTGAGGCCATATTAAGCCGAGAAAGGTTGGAAATCAATCGTGTAGCGAAACTTAAACGGTGGGCTGTTCGTTCGAATCCAAGAATCTGCACACACCTGGGTTTTGGAAGCTTTGTTCGGTTATTTCTATTCCATTTACTACTTCTGTTGTATTGCTTGTGCTTTGGCTGATTCTTGTGTGTTAGATCGTATTATTTTCTGATCTTGCTTTGCAACCATCTGTGTATTCAAACTTTTCTGAGCTAGTGGATTCTTGGGACCGGGTTTCCCCTGTTGAAACCCCGCAGAGTAGGATTTATCCGAACTGCGTCAACATATCGTGTGTTCATTTCTTTAATTTCTGTTTTGCTTGAACTTGAAGATTGAATCTGGTATTTTGATTGTGACTATTGATATAGTCTGAGAAAAAAATTGGTATCAGAGCTTTTTAAAATTAGATTCTTGAAAGCCTAACCAAAATTTCTGATTTGATTGAGTTTTTTCAAGAAACCCTATTTTTTTTTTGTCTACTGTTTTTCGATCCTGAAACCTAGCTCAAAATTGTTCGAATCTTGATTGCATTTAGATCTTGTCTGATTGCCTTCTGTTGCTATTACTTATTTGTATCTTGATCTTAACCTGCAAACATGTCTGACACTGGTATCAAGATTCGCACCTTTGATGGTACCAGTGACTTTCCCATGTGGCAGCTTAGGATGAAAGCTCTCCTGATGAAGCAGAAATGCTTTGGAGTTGTCTCTTCTGATACTGTTCCCAATGTGTCTAGTTCTGATCTGATTGAACCTAAAAAATGCTGCATATTCTAAATTGATTATCCATCTGTCTGACAATGTGGCTAGAAAATTTTCCACAATCACTGACCCTAAAGTGTTATGGGATACCCTTGAGTCCACTTATATGAAAAAATCTATGTCTAGAAAGATCTCTCTGCTCTGTAGGTTGTTTACCTTTAAAATGAATGTTTCTATGTCTTTATCTGAGAATTTGGATAAATTTCTGAAATTGACTCAAGAAATAGAAAAGGTAGATGAAAAGATAAAAGACACCCATCAAGCTGTTATTCTGTTAAACTCTTTACCCCAGTTTGATAACTTTAAGGATGTCATCCAGTATTCTAATGATGATCTCACCCCTGGTAAGATCACTGATGCTATAATTGAGAAGAATAAATCCCTTAAAGTTTTTAAGTCTAAATCTGCTCCCTCTGATACTGAGAAAATTGAGCCTAAAATGAAGCCCTAGTTATTAAAGGGAAACCAAAGAATAAAAAGAACAGTTCAAAGAAGAAGAATAAAATTGATAAAGATAATTCTGAAAAGAAAACCTTCAAATGTCACTACTGTGGCATAGAAGGACATTTTGCAAGAGACTATAGGAAAAAGAAAAGAGATAAACAAGGTGATAATAAGAATAATCCTATCCATACTCCTAACACAAAATCTGCAAATGTTTTTCAACATGAATTGCTTGTTTGTTCTGGATCTTCTTTGAATGACGAATGGATTTTAGACTCTGGGTGTACATTACATGTCACTCCTAACAAGGCCTACTTCTCCTCCCTGACTCTATATGATGGGGGAAAGGTCATGTTAGGAGACAATACTGCCTTAGATATCAAAGGTGTTGGTAATGTTCCGATTAGGATGTTTGATGGGGTTGTAAGGGTTATCCAAAATGTTAGGTGGGTTCCCTTCTTAAGAAGGAATCTTCTATCTGAATCTGTTTTTGATGATCTGGGTTGCACTATTAATACACATGATGGATATAAGGTTGTTTCCAGAAATGGAAATGACCTTATTAAAGCTAATAAAAGTGGGGGACTTTACTTAGTTAATTGCTCCCCTGAACTTAACTTAGTTGCTTCCGATGATAATAGTACCACTCAAAAGCAAACTGAATGTGATTTTCCTTTAAAAAGAACTGATACATCCTTGAGTAAGTCTGCAGATGCTTCTGATGGAAATTTCTTTGAATCTTTAGATGATGATGCCTCTTTGTATAAAGAGGACCATAGTGGAATCCTTCACAATGTCGAAAATTATTATTCAGAGTCTGATACAGACCAACAAGATGGCCTCAATGGAGGTGAACAGGTAGTAGTGAGCTCAGACTCACAAGGTAACAACTCTGATTCTCATACTACCATTGTGCATGAACTAACTGACACTATTGTTACTAATGATGTGCATGTTAATAATAATGACACTGATAATCATAACACACCAAATTTAGCTGACTATCAACTGGTTAGAGATAGAGAACTTAGAACTATTATTCCTAATAAAAGATATTTCTCTAATCTTGCTGAATTTGTGTTGATTGCTGCTGAGGTACGTAGTTAAACAGTTAGCTGCTGATAACTTTGAACAAGCTATGAAGTGCTCTAAGTCTAATGAGTGGATGAAAGCCATGCAGGAAGAACCTCAATGCATGTACTATAATAGGACTTGGATTTTAGTTCCTAAACCTAAAAATGCAAAAATAATTGACTGTGGATGGATTTTTAGGTTAAAAGATAGTCTTGATCAACCTCCTAAGTTTAAAGCCAGACTTGTAGCTAAAGGTTTTAGACAAAAGGAAGGAATAGATTACCAAGATATCTTTGCACCTGTTATAAAATTCAAAACTTTGAAATTAATGTTGGCTATAACCACTGTTTTTTATTGGGAGTTGGAGCAAATGGATGTTAAGACTGCTTTTTTGCATGGAGACCTAAAAGAAACTATTTTCATGTCTCAACCTCCTGATTTTATCAATAAAGAGTTTCCTAAACATGTTAGTCTTCTTAAAAAAATCAATCTATGGACTTAAACAGTCTCCCAGACAATGGAATTTGAAGTTTGATTCCTACATGAGTGAACTTGGTTTTTTAAGGAGTAAATATGATACTTGTCTGTATTATAAACATGTTGGAACTGAAAATGTTGTTTATATCCTGCTGTATGTTGATGATATTCTCTTAATTGGTCCTTGTAAAATGCTGATTGTTAGTGTTAAGGATGATTTGAAATTGCATTTTGACATGAAGGATATTTACTTAAAATTGATCGCAAATAATAATATGTGAGAATATTGGGTACAATCTCTAAATATGAATCCTCTGATTCTTCACTTGCAATTTGAAATAAATATAATTAAAGAAATTAATTCAAAATTAAATCTTTAATTCTTCAAATATTCGAACGTTCGTCAGATCTTCAAATCTTCGAACCTTCGTTCTTCGAATCTTCAAACCTTCAAAGTTTTGTTCTTTGAATCTTCGAATCTTCGTTCTTTGAATCTTCAGATATTCTTGATTTAAGAATTCAGCTTGAAGGGCCTCCGGTTTTCAAGTGGCTTGATCTTCAACAAAAGGGCCGTTTTGTGGCTTGATCTTCTGTTTAAGAGTCTCCCGGGATATGTGGCTTGGTCTTGAATTGAATCTTGACTCAATCTTCATATGAATATCTTCAAATCTTCAAAGATTCGTTCTTCAGGTCTTCGAATCTTCAAAGCATTGTTCTTCCGATCTTCAAATCTTCAAGCTTCGTTCTTCAGATCTTCGAACGTTCTTCAACTTTTGGATTTATTTTATCAAGAATCGATGAAATCACAAAGGATTATTCATACATTCTTAATAAAATTCGTGGCTTGGTCTACTCCTCTTCTTCAGAATCGTTCAGAGCCTTTCAGGAGTTCTTCAGAGCTATTCTGTAGCGTTTCTTCATCTGAAAATTCTCCCCTCTTCCTCTCAACTGAGACCCCTATTTATAGGTGTGGAGGGGAATGAGATGCATTTTAGGGTTCCAAAATTCGTCCATACCTTATGGGCCTCAAATAAAATGGGTTTTTGGGCTCTATTTGCTTCATTTAATAGCTAGAAAAATCAGCACTTGTTCGATGTATCTGGACAACTTCTTTAACAAGGTTCATAGCTATTTTCCATGCATATGGATGGATTTCTTAACCATATTCATTGCTTTCTTTATCAATTGGATCATGACTCTTAAATATTGAGCCAATATTTGATAATGGGCTCAAAATTAATAGGACCGGTCCATTCTTTAAAAACTCAATTTATAAATAAATTAATTGGATAATTTAAATAATCCAAATTAATTTAATTACTAAATTACTTCTCAAGGCATCCATATCACTGTCTCTTTTTTTTATAAGACCCAACAACTATCACGAGCAGTTCAGTAGATTCTGACAGTGGCCCAATAAGATATAATATAGCCCGCATTACTACATTTTTAGACCTAATGTAATATTAATGATATAACATATCTATAATAGTGTTACCTATTTCTCTAATGTAACACTTTTTAGACCTAGTGTAACACTTTCTAGAAGTATATAAGTGTTACATTAGGTACTATAAAGTGTTACAATAGGTCAAATGCAACACCAGCAAATGTAATGGTAAAAAAATGTTACATTTCTCTGAAGCTAATTAAGAGTGTTAATAGCACTCTCATAAATACTAAATGTGTTTAAATTACTACCATATGGTGTTTTTATTTAGAGAGAATTCCCTAAATAGGAGTAAAAAGTTTTGAAATTCCAAAAATAGGAGTATCATGTTTTTTATTCCCTGAATAGGACTAAATTTCAGCCAAGTTTGGCATTACTAGGCTTTAAAACATGACATTTTTTTCGAAACATGACAATTTACTCCTATTCAGGGAATAAAAAACATGATACTCCTATTTTGGAATTTCAAAACTTTTTTTACTCCTATTTAGGGCAATTTCTATTTTATTTAACACCATAATCTTTACATTTGTGAAACAAATATCATATGATCATGGTATGAACATAACTTTGTATATAAAATTCGGATATTTATATTATACACGCAAAAGTTCGGAGTGTTCACCTCACACCCCTTTAAAATTAGAGATATTTGAAACATTTTCCCCTTAAAAATAAAATAAAGTAAACCTAACGTTTAATAATTAATAATCACTAAGAATTTCTTTGATGATCAAACGGTCGTTAGACTTGGTTTAAATAGTTTTGCGTTGTGTTCTTCAGATTTAACTATTAAAGTATTATTAATAGAATAAATACTTAAAACCTCAAAATACGATAGTTTGTGATGTTTATTTAGTTCGTGTTTGATGATTTAATATTCTCAAACACCTTTGGTTGTTGGGGGCACAAACCTATCATACAATTTCACTTTTACTTTTGAGCCTTAATAGGTACAATTAATTGTTTGAGATTAAATACATATATTCTTTATTGGTCCGGTTTTGATAGTCCAAACTACGCTAAATCAAACCAAAATTAAACCAAAATTAAACAGACCACACCATATATATTCCGACCATTATACCATACCATACACTAGAACATATGATTAGATCTTTTACTTTGACAAAATAAGAAACTGATTTTTTTTTTCTTTTTGTTTATTTGAACAGATTTTTGGAGAGCTCTTCAGATATTTCGACAAGAACAAATACACATTATTGACAAGTATACATGCCCTTATGACCCTTTCTTGGCCACAACAAACTAGTTGGTCATATTGAACGGACAAAAATGGAAGAATGTAAAAGTTATGAGATTAAAAAATGTACTCCGGCCTTCACCTCCGATCATTGGACACTGTCTGGTCAGAGTTAAATATAAAGTTAAAAAAAGTAAAAATTATGTAGTTGAAACTTGAAAGCTATATAGAGAAGATAGAAGTAAACAGAATCACAAATTTTTTACTTGTAAATGAAAGTGATTAAGTTTTTACGAAGATTCTTTCTAGTCAGTAATTTTATTTTTTAAAAAAGACAATCTGCGCATTGTATCTCCCGCACAGTTTGAAGACTCTAATAATATATCTAATTTAGGAATAATTGTATTTTAATGAGACAACTCTCTTTTATTATAAATATATCTATAATGATTACTATTGGAGTTATTTTTCCCATTATTTCACATCAATTACGTAGTATCTCCAAACTTGGATCTACTTTCTTACTTCGCATTAACTCTATTATCTGGACCTTTATAAAAATAGAAATATACAATGTCGTACCTGTTTAATGCGGAGTATTATTGAGCACTTTAGCTTAATTTCCATTGCCTGGCACTCTTTTGGAATATTGGGAGTCCAGTGCTCGGTTTAAAAAATATAGTGAAGCAGGGAAGAAGAACAAAAACTGCCAAAATGAAAAGGATACCCAATAGTTACACCACGTTTGACCATAACAAAAAATTGGTAACTTATCCCACTTATCTTGTAAATTCAATTATATATGGTTACAATATTAAATAATGTTTTAATTTCTATAGGGAGAAAAATTCAAGAAAAAAAGTCAGTAGTTTGGTACTGTTGAACACTTGTTGGGCTCCGAAATATTGGCCACTACCACCGCGTATTGCCGAGATAACGGTAAGAAATGAATAAAATAAATATATATTTGTATTCTTTGTTAGACATAATAAATTGATGACATGCACATACATGCACATGCATGTACCATGCGTACGAACCAAACAGCTCTCCACCAAAGTCTCACATGATAACTCATTTACGTAGCTTGTTATTATCCTTTTTGTACTACATCACTATACAATAGTTTAGTTGTACTATATCACTATTATTACGTAGCTCCATTTAATGTATAACCGATCCATAGCTATCGGATATCAAGTGTACATTAGCTATATATATTAAATGAATACAACACACAACCTTACGGTGAATATTATATCTTCCAACTTGGTATCAGAGAAATATTATTTCTTTCATCTTCTACCATGGCTTCTCCTTCCAAAAGCTCTTTTCACCCCGCTCTAGCGATCACCTCCATAAAAAATTTAATTCCGCTCATTCTTGACACCGAAAAAGTCCAGTATTCTTCTTGGGCGGAACTCTTCAAGATTACCGCCCGCTCATACGATGTTTTGGATCATATCATCCCTCCCAAGAAAACCCCCACCACCACTTCCGCTACCACAAATGACACCGCGGCCGGTGCCACCGACCCCGTCGATCCTCTTCTCTGGGATCGCTTGGACGTCGTTGTCCTCCAATGGATATATGGAACCATATCCCACGACCTCTTGCATAGCATACTTGAACCGGACTCTACGGCCATGGAAGCCTGGACCCGATTGGCCGTACATCTTGAGGATGAATTCTCTCACGTTCGGTTGGCAAATTTTACCTCTATTTCAGCATACTGCCAGCAGCTTCGCACCATTGCCACCAATCTTGCCAACGTTGGTGCTCCGGTCGATCACAATCGGCTAATTTTGCGTCTGGTCATTATATCTTCCAACTTTCTTCACTCATTTATTACTATACTTAAATAATTGTGTAGAATAATTATGAAGAATTGATGGCTGCGAAGTAGACTGAACTTAGTGTCGTGGGGGGTGAAGTTGTTGAGAAGGAGATTGATGACGATGATATCAACTTAGAGGCTATTGGTGATCCGGTGAAGGGGCGGTTGGGGGGGAATGGGCTCACTCTCTCGCTCTATTCTAATAAAATCCCGTGGTTGTGGTTCATCCTCTCAACCCGGACCTTCTCGGCAAGAAGTTGATGAGCTACATGAGGGGTTAAAAAGACAGCAGGAAAAAGAGGAAGCCCAAGAAGCTGAAATGCGGGAAATGTGTGTTTTGGTTGCTACATTAACGCAACAATCTTAAATGGCTATGGTGGGAGGATATAACCAAGGGTTCCCCTTTGGCAGTTGCTATTCTCAGCTCGACAACCAGCAGTTTTTCACTCCTCTGCCGGGGGATGCCGGGGGCGATGCTGGGGGATGTCGGGGGCGATGCCTGGGGGATGTCGGGGGAGATGCCATGGGGGATGCCAGGAGATTAGTTCAGAATTCAGTCTGGTGGTCAGCCCGGATGTCAGCGCGGAGGTCACCCGGCGGTCAGCAAGAGGTCACCCTGGTGGTCAGCCCAGGAGTCAATCATGAAGTCAACCAGGAAGTCAATTTGATGTGCGTGGATATTTTGTGGATCACAATGATGATGCTCAATTATAATTGAGTTTCTTTTAATGTAATCGAATTTGCGTTACGGAAATATCCGTTGTAAAACAATTTAATTTTTTTTTACGTTTTTGGATTCTGGTCACGGATACATTCCTCACAAGTTTGATATAGTATATTGTACACACACACACACACACACACACACACACACACATATATATATATATATATATATATATATATATGAATTTCAATGGTACTATTCGTACATTTGAAAAAAAATCATTTGTTTGGGATTCATCCCTGACTACAATTTTGAATATTTCACTCCAATTTTCAAATTTTGTCAGGGACTTATCCCTGACTATTTAAATTAAATATTACACTACGGAATTATCCGAATTAAGGTCACCCCGGTGGTCCTTAACCATTATATCTTCATATATGATACGAATTTAATGAGTTTGTCTAAATATATGCTAACATTGTACGTCACACCGGATTTCTCCAACTTCCAACTTTACATTTTTAGTGTCCTCAAATTTTGTTGGTGATTTTAGTGTCCCCGGTCATTTTATACAATTGGAAATGACTTGAGCGTCAATGAGGATTGAAATCAAAACCTAATACAAGTTTAAAAAAGTAAGTGTATGATGAATACAGTTTTTAGTTCTTGTTATGTAGGGCCTTCCTTTTTTTAAGTAAAGATAAAGATGATTAACAAACAAACAAAAGTACCTCTTTTACATATAAATGCATGTGACTTTAATAACCTGTTTTTTACTAACAAATAATTAAGGTCTTATTATTTTTGTAGAGAAAATATTGAAGGGGAGAATATATCAACTGACAGTGAAATGTTAAAAAATAAAGATTAAAGGGACAAATATGTTATTTTTGTATTCACAAAAATTATATACTACGTATGAATTTGCTGAGGTTGCCCATTGTCTGATACAGTCTAAACAATAGAGCCCTCTTACTCATTTACTCCTATATTTTATGTGCCAGTTTTTGAAGTAGTAACCATTAAAGTTACCTCAGAAGTCAGAAGATATGGAGCAACCCTGAGGCTTCCTTGCAATGTATATCTGATCACCATGAGCGTTGTTCTTGTAAACATCCTGATTCCTATGCCAAGTCCATAGTGCATGACTGGAATTTATAACCTGCAATGAAGAAGAAAAGAAGAAAAGGTGGGGACGCCCTGTTTTACATAAATGTTGCAAAGTTGTCATGAAAAGCTAATATTAAGTCATCCCACATCGACCAAACACGAGCCTGATCTTAAGGCTTACCTCAAGTATTCCATGTCCGAAACTGCTCTCTCTATATGCACTCCATTCGGGTTGTCTGTCCCAGCAAAATTTTCCTTTGGCGGGGCCAGATGAGAAGTTCATGTGACATACACCTCCAAATTCTGGTCTATTATCACCACCAGATGGACACTTCCCGTAATCATCTGCAAAATCAACATCAACCTTCTCTATGTTACCACCATCCCCCACTGTTATGTAGACTGGCCCGCAAGGATCCAGAGTATAGTTGTACACACGGTTCATCCTCTCATATGCATGAACCTGAAAAAAGTCTTAATAAAGCCTCTTGTGCACTAAAACTCCAATCATTTTCACAGTGAAAGGCGTAAGCAGATAATGTGAGGATTAAAAAACGTTTACAAAAAATATTTGGCAAAGCGTATCCCTAAGTCTTACCATTGTTATTCTGTCAAAAAACAAAACTCCTACCATAATTATATGACTAGTAGAAACGGAGAAAGACGACCGATTCCAACTAGCCCTAGCTTTAATGGGCCATATACACATATACACATATACACGCAGCCTATATACAGCAATAGATGAGCTTCGTATGTCCTCAAAGACGTTACTTAACTGGTGTTCTCTTCAACTCTTTTTTTGCTCATTATTTTGTCTTATTTTATTAACACGAGACAAGACAAGAAAATTTCATATCAGAATAGAAACATCTAGACCAAATCATTCCTGAAATGTTCTAATGAAGTGATGATTTTAGGCCACAATTAAAAAATGAATCAGATACTCAAGGTATTAATTAAATTTATATCCAATTGCTTAGATACCAATTTTGAAACTTTTACAACGAGTGTATCATCAATCAAAACAGTGATTGCATGAAAGTGAGATGCTTTTGTCTTACATGTCCAGAAAATACAATGTCAACTCCATAGTGATACAAGACTTGTTCCATTTGTAGCCTCATGCACTCAAATTCCTGATAGTGTGATGAGTAGCTGTTATACCAAGGAGGATGCCATGCAGCAACAAGCCATGGAGTTATGCTGCGATCTAATTTCTTCAAGTCTTCTATTAGCCAACTATACTGAGCACCTAATGAAAAAATGGCATTAAAAACACATCAGCATGTATTTAACACAAAAAGCAGTTTGATGATATTTAAAGGCAAGCTAATTTTGGAATAATAATAGATCATGTCAATCACCAGTTCTGTTGTAGTCAACATAGGCCCCAAGCATTATGAAATGTACACCACCAGCATTAAATGAGTAGTAGAAGTTACTCATAGATCCCGATTCATTTGAAGGGACCGAAAATCTTGTCAAATATGACTTAAATGTTACTGCTTCTGCTTGGGGTTCAATCTCATGGTTGCCTTCTATGACCATCATTGGAACTCTTGAGGTCAATGGTTCCATAAACCTGGACCACAGTTTTAGTTACATTAAAAGAGCTCATGGTATGGTTAGAATTAATAGAGTATTTATTATTTAGTAGTTTCCTTGTATTAGGATTCCTTTTATATTATGTTTCCTAATGTACTCTAAACACTTCTCTATATAATATACACCCGGGGCAACCATATTGGGTAAGTCATTCCATTATTCTCACATGTTATCCGAGCATTAGGGTTTTAACCTACAATTTTTTTTTCGGTCCAATGTCTTCCGATGAAACCGCCGCCGCCTCTCATGTTACCGCCAGCGGTTCCACGCCGGTGACGGACTCGTCTGGGCTGAGCGCCGGTTCCCCACCAGGATCATCCGCAACTCTGGCGCAGTTCTCCATCTCAAGTGTGCCGCCGGGTCCGAGTTTTCCATTTGTGCCACCGTCTACATGGGTCCCACCTATTTTTACATGGACTCCTACAGTTCAGAGCATGCAGTCCTTGCCGCAGCAGTCCTCCTTCGTCGTTGGCGAGTCCAGCAACACCACCGATCGAAGGTTTTCCGGTCCTACACTCTCGGACATCCGTTTCCTCTCCTTTGTATCAGCCAGTTTCTTGCCAATTCCGCAAGTGCAACCTGCACGTGTGCAGTTTGGTATCGGTGAAACTGAATTCATCTCATCCCAAATGTCCCTTAATTTGGTGTAATATGCCGATACAGAGGATCCATCTTGGCGAGTATTTGTGATTGTTTGTTTCAATTCGTAGGCACGTGGCGCACTCTCCTTGCCAAAACGCTCTTCTAGATCTTTCCAAATCTCAGTTGCAGAGTTAGCGTACCTCACGCTATTTCTAATCTCCTTATCCATGGCCGTGTTAAGCCAACCTTTGATCATAGCATCACATCTCTTCCACGCCATGATGTCTTTTGAACCTTCTTCAGGCATCTTGATGGTCCCATCGATGAAGCAGACTTTGTTTTTGGCAAAGAGAAAATTTTTCATCTCTTGTGCCCAATCTGAATAATTTCCATCGGTCAGCGCATCATTGACGTGCATCTGCCGAGGATAGTCTGGATGATGGAGATAATAAGGAGAATTGTGATCGGACGAGCTCGTCACTTCTAGCGATTTTGCTGGGTCGTCTCCAGCCATGGTGATTGAGTAAAATTGTGGTGGTAATTTTTATTTGTTTCCCAGGGTCGTAACCCGCTCTGATACCATGTTGAAATTGGCCGGAAAACTGTCTGTTCATTCATCAAGGTTGGTGTTTATATTGTTTAGAAGAAGGAGTCCTAATATGGAATGGATCTCCAGAGTAAATTTTTTTCATTTTCATTTACCCCAGTGCCGCAAAGGCTCCCACCTACAGTGGGGTAAGAGGGGGTCGGATGTACGCAGTCTTACCCCTATACTAAAGCACAGAGAGACTGTTTCCGGATGACCCATAGTGAAAATCGCGTCCAAAATTGCATGGACTGACTGTTGCTTCATTACAAAGAAGCGCAGACAGTTTAGTGAGCCATTTTGCTTTATTCCATCATAATCTCAAGCCAAAAAATAATGAATCTTTGGCTCCATTGCAAATGATGGAAATCCCGAAAATAAGAAGATATAATTCTAACTCTAAAATAAAGAAAGAATCCCGAAAAATAAGGCTACGAGAATAAAGAGTCAAGAATAGATTAGGAACGGATATGGATTTCTACAAAAGAAACCATGGGATATGTATTTAATTAGGAAAATCATCGATGTACCTTCCCCATCCATCCCAACGAGGTTGATAGGTCTCCCGGATGGGTGAATCGGGAAACTGACATGAATAGCAAGAGGCTGCTTTTCCACCGGTTGTAACGTACTGATTTGCATATGTCATGTCCCCTACCATCAATACCATTGAAGGATCATTCGTGATGAGATGATCAATGGTTGTAGTTGAATTGCTTGTGAGGCCTAAATCTCCAACCACAGCTATTCGACGAGGATACTTGTGAGGTGCAGGCAAAGGCAAGGTCTCAAACACAAACTCCTCACTCATTGAGCCTAAAACACTGTCTCCACACTTGTAGTAATACTTTGTCTCAGGCTCAAGATCTACATTAGAACACAAAGCTACTCAATTTGAAGTCAACTAAAGAGTTCTCGAAGGACAGAACTCATCAAACTTCTCAAGTATTTACCGTCGATTTTAACATGATGAATAATGCCAGAAGTGTAATTCCATAGACCTTCAAATGGATACAACTGACTGTAAACCATTGAAACCCCAGTGTTAGTCTTTGTGTAGACCCCACTTGATTTTCCATAAAACACCTCGCTTCTTACTTTTGTTGGATCTAGTGGCGTCACATTCAATCCAAACTGAGATTCCCCTAAAACCCAAGAAAAGCTCAATTTAATCCCACTTATATGCCAACCCAAAGCTTTCGGAGTCAAGAGTTAATCAAATCCAGTCAATCAAAACCAATTACATAGAAATGTGTGAATGTCAATGCTGAATAGTAAAGATTCAGGAATAAGGAGCAAGATACAGCTGGATTACCTTGAGGGAAAGAGGATAACGAAGAAAATTAAATAAAAAATCAGAGTTCATACCAGTGACCCAAGAGACCCACATAGAAGTAGGGGTGGATAATGCAAGAGCGACCTGCTCAGGAAACATGGAGGTTACATTCCTCTGGAGCCTGGGATGTTCCATGGGCAAGTCATCACTGCCTTGGCGCAATGAAGGGTCGAACCTCCTCGTCACAGGCTTGAAAGGGCCATCCAAGGTGGTGGGAATTCGATCTTCTTCTTCGGCGGCCATCACTATCCAGTTAGCCATCACAACAATCAAGAAAATGTAATAAAGTGATTTATGAAACCCATTAGCCGTAATAAAGGTCCCATCTTTTTTACTTCTGTAACACATTTTGCTTAATTGTGATGCTTGGCGACTGAGTTTCGAGATTAGCGTGCCGTGGATAAGTTGATCACTTGGCAATTTGGCATCTTGCTTACTTCGGGGGTGTCTGAGTGTCTTGGTTTGTTGCATTCTCCTGGGAAAAATTGGAATATCCTCTATCACTAGAGATGCCAATTTTATTGGTTTTTTTGGTGCTTTTCTAATACCTTCCTCCAATACTTTCTAATGCTTTTTACACGTCGTCCCTTAAAACTTCGTTAGCTTTTTTTTTTTGGATGTCGCACTAACATTGTCATTTTCTCTTTTAAGTAAAGAATTTGCGGTTTCAGTTAATTATCTCTCCTCTGCACAAACCACAACCGCACAGTTTTTACTTTATTAATCCACGTGCTGGTCAAACTTAACAAAATTTTAAGGGACGGAGATAGTGCTTCCTATTAGGGTGGCGGTAAAGTTGACATCCTAAGTGGTATAATACGATTTTCATCAATTTTCGGTTCGGTTTCGGTTAATTCGATTTGAGAGATATTGTTAAAATTTAAAATTATTTGGTTTGGTTTGGTTTCAAGCTCGGCATTTCCAAGTGAAAATTATAAGGTTTAATTTAGTTTGATTTGATTTGGTTTCATAAGTTTATTACTTCGTATTTTATCTAATCAAGTTCTATATTTAAAATATAAAAAATGAAATAGTAGTGTTGGGATATTAGGCTGAAGCCCAATACCCGGCCCAGAACAGCCAAGGGCCCAAGGAACAATTCAAAGTGCTCGATCAGGACCCCATGGGCAAGCAGTGGAACAATTCCCTGACCAGGGATGTTTATGTTATGGGGTGTCAGCATATGATGCAGACCCTCGTGCCAATGCTGCTACAGTTATTGAGGAGACCGGTCGTGGCATTTGTCTGACCTTCCCCAGATCGAAATCCTGAAAGCCCAATTCAGAAAATACCAGCGGGGTCTTCAGAGGGCGGCTGATCGAGCATCTGACAAAGAACTTGAACCCCTGAGTGCCTCGGAGGATGAGGATGAGGATGAAGAAGATGATGATGAGGCCGCTGGCCAGTAGACTAAATACCCTGAACTCATTTTACTCTGATTTCCTCATGTAACTATTTTTCTCTTGAACTTTACGATGTAATTCCAAGCCAGGAGTGCCGATGAGTAAAGATCTCAACTTTTGTGTTCATCTATCCTTTGTTGCTTATTGCTTGCTTTTCAACACTTGTTTCTCATTCACATTTTGGGTGTTTTGGACTTGATCACTTTTTCATGGTTCTTCCATCCCGTTTGGGACAATCACTTTGAACTTTTCAGGACTTAGCCATTTTCATGGCTTTTCGATCCCGTGTGGGAGTCGGCAGGAGCTTCATATCACTTTGAACTTTTCAAGACTTAGCCATTTTCATGGCTTTGCGATCCCGTTCGAGAGTCGGCAGGAGCTTTACATCACTTCGAACTTTTAGGACTTATCCATTTTCATAGCTTTTCGACATTGTTCGGGTATTTTGGCTGAGATCCCTTCTGTCCCATCCGAGAGTTTTTTCAGGTGCTTAGGATCTAGGTGCTTAATGACCGGCTCTCATACTTAGAGCTCGGGCTCTTCCCGGATGGGAACTACTTCCATGGTTTCTCACCCCGTGCGGGAAACATCGATGGAGGCTATGTCTTCTGGACTTAGCCATTCGGCATAGATTTACTATCCTGTCCGGAACCTAATCTTTCCCGGTGTCCAAAGAGTACAAATCTCGTTCGATATATGGCCCTGGTATTCATCAATTGTCATCCTTGGTAGCATTACCCGCTACTTATCCTTTCAAGGCATGGGGTGTCATTCATGTAGTTTTGACCCTGGTAGCGCCATAATTGCTTTCAACCAACTGAAACCACGTGTTCCTCATGGATTTGGGCTTTTGGGTGACATCACTCTTTTATAAGAAGAGAGCTGCTTTCTTCTTACTCTCCTGCTGTTATTCAATCTTCTAAGATCTTTACCAACTTTCTTACTCTAGAATTCCCAACACTTTCTCCTAGCAACGGTACTTGCTTCCTTATTCTTTTCATGTCTAGTTCCCTTAGTTCTTCCGATCAAGAAGAAATGGCGTTCATTCGACGATCAAGGGGAAAGACTGGCTCAAGCGATCAAGCAAGTGGTGCTTCCGCTCAGGTGTCAGACTCTCTCGATTCTTCCGCCTCTTTGCATACCGAACAGACCCTCCCAGACGATGCGTGCACGTCAGGCAGCGGTCTTGCCATTTATGAAAAGGGAATGCCCGAACGACCTCCCCGTTATTCTTTGAACTTCCACTTCATTAGGAGGCAATGTCAGCGTCTCCCTGGGGATGCCAATTGGCACATTCGCCAACTCTTGCCCCCTCCCAGACACTTCTACGTCGGGTTCATTAAACACCCTATGAGGCACCGATTGGGGTACATGTTGGTGCATTTGGATGATGTGGTTGTCGGTCTTCGGTTCCCCATGCATCCGTTCATAGTGGAGTTCTTGCACCGGGTCTCAGTGCTCTCGTCCCAGTTTATGCCCAGCACCTACCGCATCCTGACCGGTTTTATAATCCGGTGTCATGATCTGGGGATAACCCCGAATGTTGACTTGTTTTTGTACCACTACAGTTACCAGCCCTACTGGACCACGTGGTACTTGTCGTTGGTTGCTCGTCATGACCACCAATTGTTCACAGAAAACACTGCGCCCGTACTTGATGATGTGTTACTCTGTCAGTGCGATTGGCTTCTCCTGGATGGTTCCAAAAATCTTCGAGCCTATATTACTCACTCCAAGATCTTGGTTGCCGGCATCGGTAAATTTTGGTTTATTAGGTCGTTAGAGCCTATGTTACTCTAACTTCCATTTGTCTAACTAACCGTTAATTTTGCAGGTGTGATTTCTTCTGACGCAATGAAGCGCCCTACACCCACTTCTTCCTCGACCGTCCCCGCTGGAAAGGGGAAAGGAAAGCTAACTGTTGAGACTGGGAAACAGATCCGGCAGTCAAGATCCTCCGCCAGCCAGGCTTCCAAACAGGCTCGGAAGCGACAACGGTGTGATGGTGGTAGCCAGCTGATCCCGGTTGACCATGTGGTGGATCTGACTGGTTCCGAGTCGAAAACCAATAAGCCTACCCCTACCCCTCCGAGGAAGGACGATTCCACTGTCGCCACTTTGCTGAGTAGCGATTGGTTGACCATGGAGTTCTCCGCAATGGGACCTCGTGCCGAGGGAAGGACCCTGTTCGGGCAAACTGCTGCCTCTCTGTGGTGCAATACCTCTTTGAAAGCTTCCTCAAGCTTTACTAATTTGACCCATTGGACTGACCTGGTCGAGGCAGGTCACTTAGAAAGCATTAAGGTATGTACTTTGCCACTTATAGCAAATCTCGTTTTCTTTACATCATTTCTAATATATTTCCATTTTTCCAGGCCGGGACCTACTATCACAAGGCCTTCCTTGCCGCTGAGCGGAAGATGATGCTCCTGGTTCGTGAGAAGGAGGAGACTCAAACCCTTCTGGATGCTGCCCGCAAGCTGGCTGCCGATCTTCAGAATCGGGCTAATAAAGGTGACAAAGCAGTGGTTGATCTCGTCGAGATGGAGAAACGGATCCAGCGTCACGATCGGGATATCCATGCTCTTAAAGTCAAGTTGAAGGCCGCTGAAGCTGCCGGGGTGAAATTGAGAAGGCCAAGGGCGGGAATCCCCTTGCCCCTTATACTGCCAATGTCTCCAAGATCACCAAGCAAACGATGATTAATTTTCAAAAGAGGGACCGGGCTGAATATCGCCCTGGAGAATACTGCTCAGGAGTTTCTGGGAAACATATCGGTCAATTCCTGAAATATAATCCTGCCAAGATCCCTTGGTTTTTGGGCTCAAGCTCCTTGATGAGACGCCAGAGGGAACGAGTTTTGTTGATGTCTTGGCGAGGGATACCCTTGTCAAGTGTCAAGACATGCTGGTTGACCATAACATCGATCTGATCAAGGCCCATTTCCCCACGCCATTCGATCCCGATGAGTCGGGCTTTGATGACCTACCTCTTCCCCGTCAAATCTTTTCATCGGGAACCATCGAGATCTCGTTCGCTATTTTCCTGAACAACATATTCACAATTTACTCTACTTCCTTATGCACTCACTTCGTTCGAGACATAAGAAGTGGAGGACTTTGTTGAGATATTGGGCTTTGGCCCAATACCCGGCCCAGAACAGCCAAGGGCCCAAGGAAAGGAGCAAACCCATGAGGAGCCCAAGACATAATTATGAGATTCCGGACGGGGATCGGTCCATCAAGAGAGACACAGTTCGGCACATCTCGAATGGTCCAAATATCTGTCTTGGAACAAATAACTAAGCACAACACTCGCCCATCGGCCTGTAGGATCCAGAGCCCGAGCGGGAAGTCCGTGTAATGCCCCAGACCGCAATCTAAGCGCGTGTGCAACTGCCGTATGTTCAAGTGACGTCACTCGCAGGTCAACCTCATTTAATCATACAAGGCGTTCGAGAAAATAATCCATCCATACTCAGTAGTAAACATACTTAACAACATCACATTTAAACCAATGAATAGCAGAAATATTCAACGGTAAATCATAAGCCACAACCGGCCAAGACATGGGCATGCAAGCCCAAAAAAATAGTTTATAACAAGTTAAATATCCATGAGCAAATGTTTGGTAGTTGGAAAGAAACTAAGGAAGCACGAACCACGTCTTTCTTGAATTGATATCACCCGTGAGAAGGTGCATGTAGCAATCTCTAGCTTCAACCAAAAAATGGTGCCCCCCGAAGGGGTCAGTACAAGTACCGAGTGAGTAGCAGGCTAAATGTAGCATAACTAATGTTTCAAGTATAAGACCAAAACATAGGGTGATACATATACTTATATTCCTTCCCCCAAGTCTTGAGTATATATTCGCTTGGAAAAATAACCAACCCGCAGGTCATTGTTTATTTGGGAAAAATAGTAGTCAAGTCTTTGACTTAAAATCCTAACCCACCCATATACCTACGAGTGTATAGGAATCTTTAGTCCTTGGGTTCTCCACCGATATACATATGAATTTTGAGGACTTTTTAGTCCTTGGGTTCTCCACCGTTATACATATGAGTTTTGAG